CGGAGAAGAACGTGTTTTTAATTTAAAAACGTAACAGTTTTTTATTTTTATAAAGTGAAAATTTCAAAATAAGTTTAATGTTAAACTTCGAAATGCAGTAACCGCAACGCAATAATGGTAAATTAATTAACAATTAACGGTCGTGGTGTTGTTGTCGACCTTTGCACATGTCGATACCAACGGTTATACAACAATTGTATTATTGACAAAACACTATACATATACTGACACAGGAAGTCGGTCGACAACGACGATCGTGTAATATCGATGGAAATACGTATAAAATAATATTTTTGTATAGGTAATCATAATTGCGATGTAGACGACAGTGCGGGGCAGCTTAGGTTATACGGCGGGCGTGGACACGATTATGCAAGTCGCGACCTTTGTGCCGGCAAACCGCTGATATTTTTGAGAAATACGGTATGCGCCGGCCGGCGGTCGCGCAATAGCTCAAGCTGGCTGGGAAACGTTAGCTCTTGCATGAATGTACAGGTCTCTACGGCCGCCGACGTTGCTTATATAACCAACCCGTTTCCGGTAAAACTGTGTATAAAATAATATTTCGTTGTATATTGTATAGTGTATTGTTGTATATTTAGCCGGTGCGGTGGGTATGGGTAGAGGGTCAAAACTATTGTTGGATATCGAATACTTAAATTCTATGTAGGGTCGGTGCATCATACATACAATAAGAATAATATGAGAGCGTAAGTGAAGGGTTCAGTGCAAGAACAAGGGGAGCTCACTTTTTGAAATTGTTCAGGAAAATGAAAACAAGCCATTTTGTGTAGAATAAAAGCGATAGGTGGTAGGTACTTATGTTTATTTTAAATATCCATATACCTACGCGTTGGCAAAGTTGTTGTTTTTATTGATTGGTCGCGAAGACAATACAATTTTCAAAGTTTTAAAAATATGGTTTCGAATGAGTCAATTGTATTGTTGATCAAAAATGTTGAGGGTTTTTATTTTCATATCGTTTTGTGTACAGTCGTCCACGCCAGGTGTGCCGCAAGTTCGATCTTACTATCTTAGTTCGTGGTTTTGTGGTATTATTTGTAATATCTAACTGATAAGATACCGTTGATTACAGAGCATAGAATTCTGATAATACGATTCGATATCAAGTTAATAAAGTAAAATTTCGCAGTATTTATTTTCTTATTTCTTAAGGTTTTTTGCGATTGTCTATTATTATTTATTTCATTAGAATTTAGAATTACTGTTTATGAATTTAGGATTTTTCACATCTACCTATTACTTTTGTCGATTCATTTTAGATATCAAGTGTTAACATTCATACCTACAAACGATTTGTTCAAAAGTGTTGTCTTTGTAAGCACAATATTCACAATGAATAGAATATTATACCTTGTCTCTGGAACGCACTTGATACTCTCTCAATTCACCAAAGTCGAGGAGAGCTTCAATATTCAAGCGATCCACGATATTTTACACCATAAAACTAATTTATCACAGGTGTGTTTATGGAATTCCGTTGGAAAATAAAAATTGTATTTGGTACCTACTTACTATTGCCTGATGTAAATATTTTAACATATATTCTATAGAAAAGAAAGATAGCTTAATTTATTAAATTTTGTAATTTGTGTATTACAAATTGTAAATTTAAGTCACTTTTTAAAAAAAATGTTTTAAATGTTATTAAAAAAAAAAATAACTCTTCTAATTCATACTATACAGTGAATTCAATTGAGCAACTATTTATTAAGTACCCATTATAATATTTATTTTGTGAAAGCAATCATCATTTTTACATTGGAGCTAAAAATTGTGCAATTATTATACTTACCTATATTAATAGGTAAAGATTTTTATTAACTTGTCATGAATAAAAATATTTTTTTTCTTAGTATGATCATTTAGAATTTCCTGGAGTGGTACCAAGAACATTTTTGGGGCCTATATTGATATCTGTGCTATCGTATCCAATTTTTTTTTTTATAAATTATTTAGAATACTTCAATAAATTTATAAACCAACTACTTGGTAAGTGGCTAATAATAATTTATACAAATGCGTAAATTTATATTTTTTTTATTTTCAGTCCGTGCAATATTAAATTTGATTGTTGTTGAAAGTATTAAGCACTTTCATAAAACTATTGAGAAAATCTTTGGATCAGGTGTTGGTAATTGGTTTTTAATTATAACTTCAACACAATTCCATGTGATGTATTATTCAAGCCGTCCACTCCCAAATATTATGGCTTTTCCATTAGGTCAGTATTTACTTGTATACAAGTATTATATTTATGGAACTATTATAATAATATATATATTTTTAATTTAGGTATATGAAAGTTATTGAACAGGTTATTATAAAATATTTTATTTTGATAACTGGTTATTACAATAATTGTATTGTAAATGTTAATATATTTTATTAAGATATAGGTTAGGTATTACATTAAATCAATTTTTCTGTTAAGGAAATAGTAATGATAGCAATTAGTTCATGGATCACAGGAAAGTATAAAACTCTTATATGGAGTTCAGCGGCTGCCATTTTAATATTTCGTTCAGAATTGGTTATTTACCTTGGAATTATTTTGTTGATTGAATTATTTTATAAACGATTAACTATACTTAGGTACGTATGTTGAATATTTTTTAACTTAATTAAATCTAATATTTTGATTTATGTCTAGAGGATTGAAAATTGGATTTGTAGCTGCTATTGTGGTTTTGACTACAAGTGTAATTATCGACTCTATATTTTGGCGTCGTCTCGTGTGGCCCGAAGGAGAAGTTCTATTTTTCAATACGATTCTTAATAAAAGCAGTCAGTGGGGTGTATCCTTTATAAATTACATTTTAAAAAATACAATGGAACCTAGATAAGTTAAAATTCAAGGGAAATGCAATTCAAAGTTTTCAACTTATTGAGGTTCCACTATAAATGATTTAAATTTATATTATGTAAAACATAATTTGTAAGGGTCTTAGTAAAAATCAAACTTTTATCATGAGATTTGAAGAGGAAAATATTTTCAGAACCTGTAGTATACTCTTTTTGTAAAATATTGTCTAGTACTGTATCTATTTGAAAGTATTTTACAAAAATTCTGTGTCAAAATCTCTAAAATATTCATTAAATATATACTAGATTTTTAAACTCTAATTTCAATTGACACTATAGAGTTAATATGTTGGTATTATTTGTTTCTAATTTATAACAAGAATATTATAATTAGGTATTTGTATTAATTATTATTTAATATTTTTAGTATAATTAACCAACTATTTTCTATATAAAATACATAGTATTATAATAACTACTTTAAAAATATTTATATGTCTGGTTTGGGGGATATTTTTAATAATTTTTGAAATTAAAAGATGTTGTTATTTTATCTTACAACAATATATACAATTTAAGTTTAAAGCATTTAAAAATATCAAATATTTATACAAAAAATTAAATTAGATAATAGAACCTATAACAAGACAATCATACTGTGTTATTTTGCATATTAATGACTTTAACATTTTTCTTAATAATCAATAATATAGACACAGCCATTTTTATGGTATTTTTACTCTGCAATACCTCGAGGAATTGGATTTTCTCTATGTTTCATCCCTTTGGGTATGATTTATGACATACGAGTTACAAGACTTGTTTTACCAGCTTTGATGTTTGTACTAATCTATTCAATCCTGCCTCATAAGGAATTGCGATTTATTATTTATGTATTTCCTGTATTAAATATCTCGGCAGCATCATATTGCAATAGAATGTAAGTTTAAAATATAATATCCAATAAATGTTCAATTAGTAGAATTATTTAATTTCTATTTGGCAGATGGCAGACTAGATTTAAACCAAAAGGATTAAAAAATTTAATTGCTCTAGTTTTTTGTATAAGTCACATTATTGGAAATTTAACTTTTACAATAATTCTATCAAGTGCTGCTATTCAAAATTATCCAGGAGGTCATGCTATGTTAACGCTTCATAAAGTTGAACACAAAAATCTGAATGCAAATTACTCAATTCATATTGATAATCTTCCAGCACAAACAGGAGTTACACGATTTACCCAATTAAGTAATCAGTGGACGTAAGTTATTTAATTTATCTATTTAATCAAAACAATTTTTGTTTTTCTTCACATTGAAATAATGTCAAAAATGTTTAAATTTTAATTACTGAAGTTCTTAATTATATACATGTATGTATTACAAATGTGAAACATTTGATATTTATATACATTATAATTTTCTACTAACAATATTATGCATACCTATCTTCTAACATAGTTAATGATAAAACTTAAATTAAGAATAATAAATCATTTGTAGAATTTTAACATCTCTAAAATTCTTAATTTTGGAATTTAATATACATTGAATTTTAATTCTATTATTTATTAAAAATAAATTTAATTGTTAGAGTTTTTTTGCTGTAATTCGGTTATAAATACACGTAGAAACTTGAAACTTGGTAATAATACTCATATTGGACTTACCTAGATGTGCTAAAATTTTCAAAAATCATCATTATATGAAAATAAAACGAATGTTTAAAAAAAAAATTTAAAAAATGAACTGCGAAGAAAGCAAATGAAATTGAAGAAATAATATGAAATAGAAAAAGATACAGACATACTTGGTACGATGGGTAGGCTACTGTTTTAAGTGAGAAGTTTGGAAGGTAGTAGAGGGGAAATTCAATGTATATCTATTACTCATTACACTCATTACTGTACACACTCATTAACCATTGCTTATGAAAAATGATTCTGAGTAGAGTTTGGTTGACAGTGTTGTTTTGTCAACAATATATGTCATATTATGGTAAAATAATTACATGCATTCTATTTTCTTTAATACTATTTTTTAAATTGTATACCTGCTTTTCCAGGTTTTTACTGGTTTTCTCATTTTTTTCCCCGATTTTTCCAATCATTGGGAAAACTGGGAAAATTTAAAATTAACCTTTTTAAAGTACCACCTCAGTCAAATTTACTTCCAAACAAATTACTGTCATTGTAAATTGGAGAACAATTTCTAGTAGAAAAGTTGTTCACAGATAAAAAAAAATAAGAAATAAACATCATTGTAAAACTAAAAACATTCCTCCCTACTCTCAGAATCTAAAATGAAATTGATAGAAATAGCAATCTTATATTGATCTAACAATAATGACTGATATTCTATCATAACTGTTTTTTCATCAAATTTCAATTTTTTATTTCATATTATTTCTATCTTTTATATATTAGTTTTGTCCACAGTTCTATTTTTTTTTAATGTTTTGTATTTATTATTTTAAAAAATAGATATAGCAAAAAAGAACATTTAAAACCTGGATGTGAAGAACTAATGTCTTTTACACATTTAGTTATTGGATCAAGCCATAGAGACAATGAAGAAATGTTACCATACAAACACAGTCATCATATATTGTTCTCTGTGTCAGGATTTTCATATGTTTCTTTGAACTATAATACTTTTCCTCCACTTAAAATTAAAACTAAAACACAAATATTTGTATTGAAAAAAAACACTATTAAATCAGGAGTTAAACAAACCATAAAAAGGATTAAGGAAGAATTCAAAAATGCTCCAGAGAAAGACAGTAAAATTGATTTGCAAAAAAGTTTAAAACAAAAATCGAAAAGCCAGATAAATGACTAATTTAAAAACTTTATGTGCTTTTTATATCTTGTAACCAATTAAATAAAATAAATAATAAATTATAGTTAAAGTTATCATATTGTAATTAACCTGTATAATGTAATTTACAGTTTAATTTTAAATTTGTATTTATTTTATTATGTTTGGCTTTATTGAATAAGAAAATGATTGTATAACAATTTCTGTGAAATATGCAAATGATTAGTTAAGATAACATATTTATTATTTAGGGTTGATTTGTAATTTGATTTTAGTTATAAACTATCACCACACTGCTCTGAGTTCCATTACTGTGCTGTATATAACTAACTTTATATCTACTTGATAACTATTAAATTACAGTCTACTGTATACAATTGTATACAGAAAAGTAACACTAAAAGTTAGTGTTAAATATTTGCTGTCTATAATAATTTGTTGTAAAACTAAAGCTAATTAACTACAGCTTTCTAGGTTTTTATAGCTGTAGGATAATAATACAACATTTGTATAAGTTAACAATATTTGTATTTGTATTTTGTTGTTTTATAATACAATTATGTTTGTTAAAAAAGGATGTTAATAATATTGGCTTTTATTTTTACATTCCTGACTTTTCATCTGCTAAATGCAGCAGCATAAACTACACCACCATTTCGTGGTATCGGCTGCCTGCTGAGAAACAGTCTGGGTTCGACTTCATCCGGTGGACTGTAGATTTTGCTGTCCATATCCTCAGGAGGATTGCAATCTCCAGTCACATACTTGTTCTTGTAGATGAGATTGTGAACAGACCTCGGCATTATATTACTTAGGGGTCGCAATCCTGGTGGTGGTGCTTTAGTGAATGGTGGTACCAGTATACCATTATTCAGTGATAGAATTAAAAATTTCAAATACAAGTCACGGTCTTCTCTGTTTTCACAATCACTCATAGTATCAAATCTGCTCATATAATTAAAGTCAAAAGATTCATTCTACGTTTATATAGACTGATTAATGTACATTAAGTTAAGCTCATTACAAATAAGTGTGAAAGTTTATATCTAGGTATCTCAAATACTAGGATTAAACCCATATATGAGTTAATACATAGAAATATATATATTGATTTTACTATGATTAGTTTTTTTTTTATTAAAGCAAGCTTAAAGTTTAACTTTAAAATGAGCGTTATTACCTATCATTATTATTTACCATCTGTGTATTAGCATTAATTTATTTCATTATGTACTCTATATTATTAATTTTACCTTAGGTTGTTACCTATAATATTGTAATAGGTATTATTGATACATTTAAACTTGTACAAAATAAATGATAAGTACTGAGTTTTTACTAATAACTTATAAGTATTAAAATTTTTGTTTCTAGATAATATTATTGTCAGATCCCAATTTGTATAGTAAAGTGGTTCTCAACCGGGTGAGGGGTGATTTGGATCCAGTGTAGAAAAACGCACAATTTCACGATTTCATTATTTTATAAAAATACGGACGACGTTTTATACCAGGATAAAATGATTTAATCGAAAAATCAAAATATCATTTTTATAGCCTTTTTGATTTACTTTCTATCTAACGGTATCATAGCCAATACTTTTAAGCCACTTTTGAGCTTTTAAGAAATTATAATTGTTTTTTTGAGTTTTTTTGCTGTAATTCGGTTATAAATACACGTAGAAACTTGAAACTTGGTAATAATACTCGTATTGGACTTACCTAGATGTGCTAAAATTTTCAAAATCATCAGACGATTTTTTTTTTAATAAGAGTTTTGAAATAAAATTTAAACAAAAATCGCAAAAATTAAGTATATTGCCCAATTGCGCTTGTAATCGTCTTTCGTCAACAATGGTTTATCCTTTCTTACAGATTTAAATGAAATAATCTTATATATTCTATCTTTCCAACTTCTCACCTACAACAGTGACCGCTCCTATCCCCAGATCAGTTCTTTTTTATTTTTTTTTCAATTGTATGTTTCACATGTGCAAGTTAAAAAATTTTAATATAAAAAAAATTTTGTGTTTTTGAACTAATTTCAGTGTTTATGGGCAGCCGTTTTATGTGAGCAAACAGGGCTGCTCCCAACGTGCCTACATTAAGTGGAATCCACTGTATATACTCCTATCGTATTCAGATAGTGTCTTTCGTACTTTACCCGTAACATATACAATATAAATTTCAATAGTAGACGGTTGACTCCATTCTCCAGTTTAACATAAAAATAATAATATCGTGAAAATAGGTAATCACCTTTCGAGCCATTTGTAGACTTTTTCGCGGTCTTTGATCGACATCAATTCTGCAAGAACAATTGCGTATTGTCGATCGCAATTATAAACTTCGTTTGACAATTCGGGCAGTGGATCGTCAATGGATTTATCGACCACGGATTCTATGGCTGGTTGAATTTGGTCTGACGATTCAGTTTCGCCTTCTGCCCCTTCTTTTGTACTTTTGGCCATTATATCCGGTTTCTGTTTGGATTATTTTACTTTTGAGAGAACGAGACGAAGTGACATACAACCAAATCACCAGCGAATATTATTTTTAAACGTACGCGACTGTTAAATAATTATTATATTTATGTATAAACAATTGAAATGTCATCAGTGAAGTTGATACGTTACGATAGATACGCTTTGCATACCGTGTTTAGTATTTGTTCGAAGCCATGATATAATGGAAAAAAAAAGGCTTTTAATTAAATTAAATATAGGAACAGAAAATAGCCAATCATAAAAATGTACTCTTATTAACATCAGTGGAGCACAGAAGAATTTGAAGAATACATACAGTTAACAAAAGTGTACACAGCCACCTATTTCCTTATGTGTGAACAAAATGTTAAAACAACTATACTCAAGAGGCCGTCAGCGTTCTGTTTAAAACTAGTATATGAAACAATTAATATATTATAAGTATAAACAATTGTTGCTTAAAGATTAAAACAAATTTGAACTGTAATGATCTCTAATGTAAAACACGCTTCTAGAGTACATATTATGCAGTTGCGGTACTTGGAAACCTAACTATGTGCTATTGATTTACATGTTCGATAGGGTAAGTTAATTAAATTTTCTATTATAGTTAATTAGTTAAAGTTAAAATACTAAAAAAAAAAAAATGCTATGAGAAAGTTCTAGAAGAAAACTTGTTTACAGACACAAAAAAAAGAGATGAGGCTGGGAACGAGTGTCTCACTGTTGTGAGTGGAAAGTTTAGAAGGTAGGATATATAAAGTTATTTAATTTAACGATAAACTATTGTTAACGAAAACCGATTCTGAGGGGTAAAGGAATTCATTTTCGAAAATACAGGTGGGACATGTATTTTTTCAATAATATTTACCTTCCTGTTAATCTATTTATTGCTATATGTAAGTTTACGTAGTATAATATTATATGCATTTATTCCTATTTCCTACAACAGTGTTTATCATAACTGTATACCTAATTATTTATAAAATAACTAAGATTAGGTAAGTAGTTTAATTTCTAATAACCTGAAAAATATATAACATAAATATTGCAACTTTATTATTTAAATAATAAAAAGAGTTATATTAAAGTTTAGATTAGTTTGAATCAATCTTAAAACAAGAACTGCAAATTACATTTATATTTTGAAAATTGGCCAACAACATTTTGAACTAAATTTAAATCTTGAATTTTCTGTCTGTATACTGAGCATACACAATTCAGTTATTATTTGCTCGCTCCGTCATTGTAGATATTCAATAATTGTGCATGCTGTAGGAGGTATGGTCATGTAAATGATGATACATTTTTTGTTTGACATATAATTTGTTAATATTTATTTACTACGCATATTATGTTATATTTATTACATTTTCCGTCAAACAAAAAAATGTATCATCATTTACATGACCATACCTCCTATAACATGCACAATTATTGAATATCTACAATGACAATATACAGTGTATAATAGTACACTTCTATAGATTCAACCATTGATTATAATTGAGTGTTTATATTGAGTATTTATAAATCAATGTTTCTACTATAATTCGTAACCGATGTAATGGCCTATGCTATTCGATTTTTCAATGTCGTCAACAACCGATGGAAAACCTCTAGTGAAAATAATCCTACCATATAATATATTTTATGATCATCAATTTTTCATTTATTCAATGTATTTATTATAAATTATATTATTTTATGTATAAATGTATAAAATACACGGAAAAGTCGGGAGGGGGGTATGTCTTCTTTTGGCTCCCCCCAATGGACGCCCATGCAGTGAGTGGAGTAAAGTTATACATGTTTTAAAAGGGCGTAATATTTATGAATTAAAAATAATTTCGTAAATCTTTCCGTTTTTCTTCTTTTTTGCTAAAAGAATTATTTAAAATTTTAGAATGCTGATTGTCAATATTTTTCGGCGAGAATTACATTTATTACTTACAAGCTAAATAAAAAATGATGATCGTGCTAACTTTCTATTCTCATACATAAAACCAAAGTTATTTACAGATGCTTCTGAAAAGACGCGGTGTCGTGAAAAAGTCATTAAGAAAAATTTTCTTCTGTTAATATATTTCATTTCCAATTTATAATATTTTGGATCTTATTATATACTTGTAACAAATATTCTTAATTCTACTACGTGTTTTCAAAAGGTTATGATTCCCCAACACCGTAGATACCTATGCAATATTATATTATATTATATTCAATATTGTGTAAAATGAATAATATAACGAACGAATGTGATATGACCTTCAGTATATATATTCAATATATGTTGTAATTTTTAAATCAATTATTCATAATACGGTCGACCTATGATCTTTTGAGATCGATTAAAATTCTATAATGACCCGTAAAATGTTGTTCGACATTACTAACAATATTTTATTCGGCTTCGTAAAACGCGTGATTGTAGTCGTTCGTGCGCTGATGTGTTCGATTTTTATTTTTGAATCGGTGAGTACCTACCTATTATAAACGTATATTATATAACACGATAATGTCAGTGAAGGTTTCGGTAGAAGGGGAAGTGGGTCAAAATCCATTCTTAAAAAAATGTAGATAAATTTTACGCCGATTTAATAGGTATATTATGGCTTATCATAATAAATAGATTTTTGATACTTCCCAGTTTCTCCAACAATGTATCGTATAGAGCAGTGGTCTTCAAACAGTGGGTCGCGTAAGCTTTAAGAATGGGCCGCGATAAGTCTACTGTTTAAAATTTAAAAAATCTATATTTATATACATTATAATTATATAATATTAAAATATATTGTGTAAGTTAGGTATGATACAAATAAATAATTTCATATGATATCAGATAAAATAATTTTCGAGTAAACCGTATTTTTTCATATTTGTAGAAGATAAGAATGGTACTTAAAGCCGTCTTTGTGGCTGGCGCCGCAGCGTTGTCGCGCGTTAAAATAACGCAAGTGTCCACCGGACCTTAACCGATAAAAGGTCCTGTTATTTATCTATACATTTTATAGATTATTTGTATAAATTACTGTTGTTTTCGTTGTGTTCAGAGTTGATACCGTTGTATTATAAAATATAAATTTTAGTTGCTTTTAGTCTAGCGGTCTGGCCGTATTAAAGTAGTGTCGTCCAAGTTAATTTTCGTAATCTATATTTTTTGGATAAATTTGCTATTCAATTTTTATTTATTCAGTTATAAAAGCACTTCTACAATGGCACACTAAGGCATTAAGCAATTTGAACTTTTATTTTATTTTAAAAATGTATGGTCAAAAAATTGGGTCACGAGTCATAATGTTTGAAGACCATTGGTATAGAGTAACCATTATTTAGGGGTTGATTTTTAAAACTTATGTAAGGCATAAAAATAAAAGGTGATTTTTTTTATCACGAATCAGCAATTATCTAAGAGGATTTTAAGTGAATTTGATATTTGTTTTATCTAATTATTATGGAATCGTTTAAGCGTTATTTTAAAACCACTTTTAATTTTTTCCCCTACTCCATATACCTTTAATAAGTGCGTACTTTTAATTTTTAAATAGGAACCCCCCTCTTTTGAACACAGATTTGAATAGAGAATATTTTTCTATGGGGAGGCTCCAATTTAAAAATGAAAAGTATGCACTTATTTAAGGTATATAGATGTAGTAAGAGTAAAAAACTGAAAATTGTTTTAAAATAAAGCTTAAACGATTTCATAATGATTAGAAAAAACAGAAATCAATTTCACTTCAAATCCTCTGAGATAATTGCTAGATCATAATAAAATAAATCACTAAGTTAAAAAGACGTCCTAGGATAATGGGGATGTGTGCAGTCACTGTTATAGATAATTTAATATAGATCTGTAAGCAACGATAAACCATTGCTTACGAGAAAACGATTTTGAGTAGAGTTCGGTTGATAGTTGTCAACAATATATATGCCATTTTATATTAAAATAATGAAATTGGCTCTATATAATTTCTTTAATAATATTTGTTAAATATTGTAACGATTTTCCCGGTTTTTTTATGTTTGATCCCGGTTTTTCAAATTGGCTGGGAAAACTTCTGAGAAAATCGAAAAACGACATCTTTAAAGTACCTTTATAATGAAATTTCCTTTAAAAAACATTGCTATCAATATAAATGTTAGAGCAAATTTGTTGGTAGGAAAGTTGTGCACAGAAAAAAAAAAAGCCGTATATATTTGAACCAATTCCTACATTTCTTATATTTTCCCGTTTTTTTTTTTCGGTTTTTCAAATTCTATGAGAAAACCAAATAATGACCTTCTTAGTACTTTTCTACACTAATTTCATTTCAGAAAAGGTGTTACAGTTAGAAATCCGAGCAAGTAAATAAATAGTAAACATCTATGTAAATCCATAAGACCAACGCATTCGCTCCAGTCAGAATCTAAAAGTAACGTAACCGATTAAGCGTACTTGCAGTTTTCGGAATAACAGTAAGTTTTATATTTTTCTATCTTATTTTTTTTTTTGTCGGATATATTTTAGATTTTTCAATCGGAGCATAGGTGTATAGCATTCGATAATAGAAAAGTCGTTCACTGACTCAAAAACAAATTTTGACGAAAATCTTATAATATATATCTTACGTTCTCCGCTTTCCACCTATACAATAATAGCATGTCCTTTGGCAGTGTTGGCTCTTTTTTTTTATATATTTTTTCTATATTGGAAGTTTTTCCTCGTCTTGATATTTTTTCCACGTTAGTTGAATACCAATTATTTCGAAAAGTATTGACTATTTTTAAAAATTTAAGAAACAAATAGGTAGTATTAAAATATTACACTGTCATTTTTTTATTTGTTACTCCTATTGTCGGGGGTGAAACGACCACCTACTTTGATTTTCAAATGGCAACCTATATTGAAAATGTTTTAAATAGATAGGGTATTAGTTAAAATAAAATTTGGTGTTGACATTTTTGATTTTCGTCAACCCATTTATGAGATATTTTACTTTTAAGTTTGGTTCGGATACTTTTAAGTTTTTACCTGTTTTAATCCCGATCACAACTCGGTATCAACCAAAATAGCTTTTTGTTTTCTTAATTGCAGCTGGCATCATATTTATTTAGAACAGTTGGTAAACCTATACCTACGAAATTCTACAAATAGAAATATGAATTTGATTTTTTCTAGGAAGAAATCAAAATAATTTTATCACATTTTTTGATAACAATATGAAGTTTGTAAAAAGAAGAAAAAATGCGGTAAAAATGAAACATACCTTTAAAATGTTAACAAATATTTTTAAAAAAAAAAAGTTCTAAAAATGAAAAAAAATGCAAAATAAAAGTTTCATATTTTAATTCTTTAATATATGAAAACAATTTTGTGTTTGGAAAGCATTGCTTTAGGACATTCAGATGATAATTTGCATTATAATCCGCACCCTAAGTAATGTAATTTTAGACTTTTGAATGTAGCTAAGGATGAATTGTTTTTATATGAACACTTTTTCTACATACAAGAAAGCTTATTCCGATGCATACGATGTAGACCCTATCCTGAAAGGACATTTTCTTGGGGTGGTACTTTAGGGAGGTTACTTTTTGATTTTCCCAGGAGTTTTCCCAGCAAATGTAAAAAACCGGGAAAAACCAAGGAAAAACGTTAGGAAATCGATACAATATAAACGAAGATTATTAAAGAAAATATATTAGGTATATTTCATTATTTCACCATAATATGACATATACGAGTATATTGTTGAAAAATCATCACTATAAACTGAACAAAGCTCAGAATCGTTTTTCGTTCGCAATAGTTTACCGTTCCTTACAGATATACAATAATAAAATATCGTATATTAAATATCGTACAGTTACTTATTATTATTATAGGTAGGTATGCGCGAGTTGGTTTAAATTTTGATACACGATGTATTTGAGTCGAATGTTTANTAGATTAGATCATAACATTATACCCGGTCGATTTTCGCCAACGAGTTCTTTGGACGTTCTGCATCGCTATTGCCGTATAAGCTGCGTTCAAAATCCAACAATTATGAGTAATACTAATGAAAAAAACATGGACGGAAACCGTTCGCCCAAGGAGAAATATTTACGCGATTTCACATACCAAGGACCAGAGATGTCCGTCGCAGAAGCCCGAGACATCATGTCCCAGTTTTCGTACGATAACAGTACCGTGGACCTCGAAGAGGGGGAAAACGGGATAGCGAAAGTCTGTTTGAACAACCCTCGCGCCAGAAACGCAATAAACGGTATAATAAGTGATACCTAACTAGTTATATTATTAAAAGAAAAAGTTTGTCTGTTTGTATTTTATGGACAGCCGAATTTAATGCACACGAAGGTCTGAAAATTTACATAGAAAAACAGAGATAAAAGAATCCGTGGCCGCACTTCAAAGATGAAATATTCAATATTTAATTTCTTAAGGGTGGCTCAGGGATTTAGGGATTTTAATACGAAAATTTAATTATTTTTAAATGAAATTGTTTTAGTTATAGAAATCCTACCCCAACAAAAAAAAAATATAGGAGAGCTTTTTTGTAGCATTTTGGATTTAACTAATGCATTGAGGAGGTCGGTTTTTGGTTTCCCTTGTAATTTTCTTAATAACTAGAAAAATCGATAAAAAACGAGAATGTTTACGGAATAACGCTTAATTATTTTCGATTTTGTTTTCGTTTTTTTTTTGTTTTTTTTTTTTATGAGGATAAATTTGTTTTGGCTCAATAGAAATGCTTGAAAATTAATACAAGGATCATTATACATTTAACTTATTGGTAAAAAAATATTTCTGCGTAATTCAGTGGTTTTCTTTTAAAAGCGTTTTAAGTTCAAACTTTAACGAAAACCGTACCTCAAAAAATACGTCACATCAAAACAAAACCGTGTATTTTGGTCAGAATTATATTTTACAAGCAATGATTTGTCATTGTGTACAGATTTAAATTAAATTACTCAATGAATATTACCTTTTAAACTTCTCAACTAAAATAATGTCATACAGCATCAACAGTATCATTGTTTTTTTTATTATTGATTTTTGATTACTTATGATGTTACTGTTAAAACAAAAACACAAAAAACATTTACAAGCTATTAGTTTATTTGGTTGTCACTGGCAAAAATGTACTCTTTTGAAAAAAATAAATGACCGGACAACAGCGGTTAACTGTTAAGGGGACGGGGGTTGAAACGGATAAACAGGTTTTAATTTCTTAAAAATGATTTTTGCTCAATACCTACTAGACAAGGGTAAAGCCGTGCGAGATAACGATATTTTCACTCTATAGCGTTTCTGCGTGGGCATAATAATATGAATCTAATTATATGACGTCGACGATGGTTCCAGGGAAAATGATGATCGACCTGAACGACATCATCGACAAACTGGAAGACCACATGGCTGAGTACAAAGGTGTTATACTGTACGGTGCCAACGGCAATTTTTGTGCCGGGGGCGATTTGAAACTGACAAAAAAAATGCACAACCCGGACATAGGGTATGCTATGTCTACGTACATAGGATACGTTCTCGAAAAGTTCAGAAATCTTCCAATGATCACCGTGGCGTACATAGATGGCTCGGGTATAATAACAGTAAATTATTATGGTTTATTACAGATACTTAACTAGGTACCTAATAATGGCATTGTATTTGTATTGCCGATACAGTGCCCTTTATACTTGTAGTGCGAGGGGACGAGGGTTATATTTTCAGCATACCTCCTTCAGTAAATATGAAATTCATCAATGGTCAAATGCTAGATTTGAAACAAAATATAATTAACAGTTCGAGTTTAAAATCTATTCCCTTTTTATATAATATTATATAGGTAGAATATTAAATAATAGCTAGGTAACGATTAGAAAATCCAATAAAAATCTATTGGTAGTTTAGACAATTATTTTCTGACACTTTTAAAGTCTAAACATTTTCAAGTCATTTTCTTTTCTAGTAAGTCTAGCCAAATTTTTTATTCGCACGCCTATAGATTCCAATATGCCCAATGCGCCCAACCCTCGTTTGCATAAAATAAGAAATGGAAGTTTTTAAATGGGTGTAAATAAAGGATTTACCAAATACCATATGTTAATCATTCCTGTCTACAGACTTTTAAATACCAGATGCATACGTTTTCTATACAATCATTTCGGAATTAGTATTTTTATTGTTATTGTGAATTAAAATTAAATTATTCACGTAATTAATTGGTTTGAAATCAGATTGGTTACATACCAGATTTGTTCAAATTAATAATTACTATAAAAATCGTTGATGATAATACACTTTGATATTGTTGACGTTAGTTTGATAAACTATATAGTATACTCGCATACTCTTAATTATTTTCTGTCCGTATACCTTTAATATTGTCCATATACATTTTTATTTAAAGTTAATTTTTAAATTATATATTATTCCTGTATGTGAACTGAAAAGAACGCGCTAAGTTAAGCACGACGAATTGATGCGATGAGTTAATTGGTTACATCGGAGGTTTCCAAACTTTATTTCGTGCCAATATTTTCTGTTTTTCATAGACCCCTATTATTCAATGTTTATAAATTCATCAACGTTTTTTCGACAGTGTTTACGGAGCTACTAACTTGAATAAGGTTTACTATGGAGTGAAATATTTTAAAATAAAAAACGTGTAAAATTTTATTTTATTCATATCTTTATTTTTTTAATAATGACAATATTTATTTTATATTTTAATTATTAAATAGAAAGGAATTGAAAATTAAATGTTAAAATAAAAACTTTATCTTTAATGGGTAGGATGAGTCTGATGCTTTGATAGTAAATTATTAATAGTAAGCTTCAAATTAGTCAGGTTTAACTTTAAATCTCATTTACTTGTGAGTTCCAATCTGTTTATTTTTTTTTCTCGTATGTAGATTGGTAACCGCGCTAAAACTATATACGCATTCTTGACTTAATCGAGGACTCTTGTTTACACCAAATACACCACCGATTTTCTTTTTCGTTAACATGGACCCCTCGCGGGTTAGAACCGACCCCGAGGGGTCGATATAGACCACTTTGGAGACCCCTAGGTTATACAGACACCAATTTATTTATATATTTTCTAATGTAGGTTAGTTATATCTTACTATACATTAATATAGGTAAATTAAATACCCACTCGTTGTACGGTAGTTTGTCACAATGTTACTTACACCTATACGTATAGAATAATATGTAAGCATATGCTCTTCAATTCGTTTAACATATTATCGAATTTTCGTAGGCGCGCTGGGAGGAGGAGCCGAAATTACGACGGCGTGCGATTACCGGTTGATGAGCAACAGTTCTGAGACCACGGCCATAGGGTTCATTCACGGGACAATGGGTTTAGTGCCGGCGTGGGGCTCTAGCGGCCGTCTCATGTCGTTAGTGGGACCGCGGACTACGTTGGACCTGTTGCTGGACGGCCGGCGGCTGAGCGCGTCTGAGGCCACGGACGTCGGCCTGGTGGACGGCACGGTGGCCACGTTGGCGGACGCCGTGCAATGGTTGTCGCCGAAGGTCAGACACGACGTGAACGTGATCAGGGCCATCAAGCGCACGCGTCTGTGCCACGAGGCCGGGCTTGTCAGTCGGGCGGCCTCGTTGATGGAACGTAAAATATTCGCACCTCTTTGGGGAGGAGACGCCAACCGGGCAGCCTTGGATAGGTTTTTTAAAAAAGGAAATTAGCTACACTGTTATGACGTAGATAATCGAATCTGTTGTGAAAACCGTAACATGCGCACCATTGTCGTTCTGTTGGGTACACCTGCGAAGTTGCGCGGTAAACTTCGGTCCAAACCGCGTTTTCTACCATAAAATAAATTACGTTTTTTTACTGTATTACACTATTATTTATATTAGCATTCAAATTATCTAAATAAAGGTTTCCAGAAATTAATTTCCGTATAATAATACACGTGTTTATTCAAAAAAGCGTAGTAATAAAGCCGAACAAGTTTTTTTTTTTTGAAGACGTGTCGATAAGTATAAAGTTAGTGATATAGGTATAATATAGTTATTAAAATGTAAATAACTCGTAATACATAATATATTTTTGTAATGAATCGCGTAAACACAATTTGGTGGATAATAATATTAATCCGCGTCGGGATGTTATAAATGGCCACACAAATATATGTAAATAATTTTAAGCGTTTTTTAAAATGCACCTAAAATGCTTATATAATATAAACCCGAACACTATGTTATAATATTATTGCTAATATGTTAACAATTATTATACGCGTTATCGTTGAAAATGAATAATATTATTATTTTACTAAAGAACTTAAGATAATATATTATTAATATTTTAATTTTAACCGTGGATACGTGAAATATTTAAATAGCAACTAATACATTGTATACCTACAGTTACCCTATTCGAAATGGAAACGCTTCATACTATTATTATGTGTATGTGCCAACATTATATTGTTATAGTTAAAAATCGTATGCGATTAGTTTTAGGTACTTATATTATAATTTCAATCGCCCATAGTATATGGAGGGTATAGGGAAAAACGCAGAAAAGTCACTTTTTTCAAACCGAGAAGAACGTGTTTTTAATTTAAAAACGTAACAGTTTTTTATTTTTATAAAGTAAAAAGTTCAAAATAAGTCTAATGTTAAACTTTGAAATGCAGTAAACGCAACGCAATAATGCCATAACATATTATTGACCACGGCCTTTCATCCAGCACATTGGTCGGGTTATCAATTGACCTATTTACCTGTTTATTTTCCTATAGGCCTAAATTTCTGTGGCGCACATTAATTTCAACTAGTCCGGTTTTTTCGCCGGTTCGATCGCATAAGAGATACGGTACGTGATCAATACGAATATTGTTTGATACCAATATCGCAATATCAAAATATATATTTTGGAAAAAAAAGCGAATTTTCTAATTTTTTTTTCCCCTGTACCCTCCATATAGGTACCTACTACACATTATGAATTGACAGTACAAAAGTAAAATTAAACATTAATGCCCGCTATATAGGTGCCTACACAACAATATGTACCTATAGTTTAGATATTAGATATATAATAATATTTCATAAAGTAATAAACTATTTCCAATAATGAGTAACTATTATTAGGAACTAATTTAAAAAATATATCGGTATCTGATAAATAAAGTAAAAAATAATTAATTTAAATATTTTAAAACATACTTATGTATAATACGTGCGTCACAACAGTATAAGTATATCATAATCTGTACAGCACATTTATACTATTAGTAATACGCAGGGCTGGACAAGATAATCACAAAAAAGTATATCGATTATAAACGATACTTTAATATCTTTTTGATTGTAATTTATATTAGTGGATACAAATATCAGAAATACAAAAAAAAAAAAAGAAAAGAAAGAAAAATAGGCGATGATACATTGATACTAGACATTTCTAATTAATTGTATTCAATTTTTTTAAATTTAAAATTCTTATTTAAAAGAAATATAATATTTCAGTAAAGTTTTATTAAATTTCAGGGATTGTAGACATTCGTTTTTCAAAAATAAATACTTGTTTATCTTTCAAAAAAATTATTTTTAAAAAGTATTTTCAGACATATTAAAAATATTATACTTACATGGGGTATTAGTGAATTAATGAATGAATTGTAAATTGTTTAAATTTTGACAAATTTTGAAAAATCATTATTGGTAAAAATATTAAATAAAAATATACATGTCAAAAAAGTATTTAGATACTTCCGAATTATGTGTCTAGGTACAAGTTTGTATAACTCTGTAGATGTGTATCTTAAATACTTGGATCTAATAGCCCAGCCCTGTTAGTATTAGGTATAGGTAAGAAAACATATAAATAATTATTACATGGAATGACTGCGTGTATGATTTTTAACAGATTTTTGAAACTAATACAATTTGGATTTGTTATAATAGTAATAATAAAAATAGTAATAATAATAATAAATAATAAAAGTAATATAATATAGTAGTAATAATAATAATGATAATGATATAATTATAGTACAAAAAAAAAAAAAATTACAATAATAATAATATTGGTGCGACACCATATATTTTACTCGATATTATTATTATCGCTTATTATCATTATGATTATTTTTTTGTTTGAATTTATGACTAAAAAAAAAAAAAAAAAGAAAATACACACTCCACTGAGAGAATGGTGTATATGTTAATTTTTTGCTCAGAAAAGGTTCAAATTCTGGAGTTTGTTGACTAGATCCCTCCTGAACCGTCTTATCGTGTTGCTGATGTACGAAAAGTTGGGCTGGCGGTCATTGTTGGCCGGCAATAGACCGGCTCGCGTGCACGACTCGCAGCAAAACATTTTGTAGTACGGATGGTCGCAGTAGTATCCGCTCACGATCAGAGTGCAATTGGCGAAAAATTGTTTGTCCGTACAGTTCGGATGGATGTACAAGCCTTTAAAATAAACACAAACGAAAACGGAAGGTTATCAAAGTACAACGAAAAAAGAAAAACGTATATAGTTTACAGGACCGAATAATGTACGGGGAAATCAATTTTTCGGACGAGACACATTGTTCTTATTGTCGCAAACAGTTGGTGGATGTTTGGGTCGGTTTAGACCCTTGCAACTTTGCAAAACCTCATTTCAAATCAAGTGCTCGTCAAGGATACATACTAAGCATACGTAGTCTTTAAAGGCGATATTCCGTGGATGTATAATTATAATTATATAAGTCCCACCCGAAAAAAAAAAAAAAAAAAAAATTATATATACAATATTTGGTTTATTTTCACCTATGGAGAACGGTCGATGAAGAAATAAGTTAATGTGTTTTATTTGTATTATACTATTTGGAAAATTCGGGTTTGCCAAAGTTCGAAAATCCGGATTTCCGGTACCCAACTGAATTGCATTGTAAATCCGGATTTGGAATTTCGATACACTGATTTGTCGACCGCTATCTAAACACCGGCCAGTCGGATTGAAAATTATTTGAATAATTTACCGCCGATTAAACGCGACGACTGTAGACAAATATAGGATGCATAAAATCATTAAATTTATATCTGTACCTAACAATAAATCATTGCTACGAAAATCTTTAGAAATGCCATAATTTTTACGGTTTTTGTCAAAAGGTAATCTTAAAACGCGTATAAAAAAAACTACCAAACTAAAACTTTTAGATTCTGAGCCGAGCGATTAATGTATTGGTTTCACAATGATGTTTATTTTGTTTTCGTTTTTATTTTATTTTTTCTGTGGACCACTTTTCTATTCCATCAAATTTGCTCCAATTTTTAAGTATAGCATTTTTTCTGAAAGGAAACTTGACTGGGATGATAATTTAGGAAGGTAATTTTCCTAGATGGGATAAATGGGAAAAACGGAAAAGTTTATGAAATGTATAATTTTTAATTTTTCGTTTTTTTGTTTAGAGTTGTTTTGATTCAATTAAAATATTTGTTGAGACTTGAAGTTTGGATAAAACCATATATTTGACTTTTCTAGACGTGGTCAAATTTTCAAAATGTTGTAGCCATTTTCGAGCTATTTATAATGTCTATAAAGACATTGCGATTTTACGAGGTTTTTTTTATATAATTTTTGTTCGCTAAATACTCGTGGATACATTTTTAGACTAAACAGAAATGCTAGAAAATTTAACAGGAAGTTTATTATAAGTTGTACTTTGTGGTCAACTAGAAAAATTTGAGTTTAATGTAAAATTTTTGTTTATACAAATTTTAGTACCAAAATTTGACGAAAATCGTTTTAGTAAAAAATGCCATTAAAGAAAATATATAATGCATATTATAAAACTATTTTACCATTATATGACGTATATAATGTTGAAAACTCAACACTATTAACTGAACTCCGTTCAGAATCGTTTTTCGTTGGTAATGGTTAATCAGTAATAAAATAATAAAGAAATAACAAAACTATTAAAATGAATAATATTCGTAAATAAATATATACATTTTTTATTTATGTATTTATTTACTTTATTTATTTATTTAATTTAATGGTTAATCGTTGCATATAGATATACATTAAATTTCCCTTTTACTTTCCCAACTACTCATCTACAATTGTGGCCCATCGTGCGAAGTATTTCTTTTTTTATCGATAAGTTAAACTTAAAATCTTAAAATAATTTTTTTATTTTTAAGCATTTCTATTCGGCCAATCAATGATACTCACATAAAATTAAACGAATTCAAACATGCAAATGCTCAAATAAATAGCTCAAAAATCACGAAAATATTTTGAAAATTTTACGACGTCTAGAAAATGCTAATAAAAGTTTTTTGTAGATATTTCAGGTCTTTGCGATGGTTATTTTCAAATCAAATTACGGCAAAAAAACAAAATTGAAAACAACGAAACCGTTCATGCCGTAAACTTTTCAGTGCTTCCCGATTTTTGCTTCCTGGTGGTTTTCCCTACTATTAAGAAAACTGCACGGATCATCAAAAAACGATTTCATTAAACACCGTATAGACAAGATTTTTAGTAGAAAAGTTGTTTACAGACAGAAAAAAAAATCGCATACATCGGTATAAAACCCTTTAGAATCATATAATAAGTCATAAACACCTTCAATTGAAATGTTCACGGTTTTCTCATCGGAGCTGTACGCGTTATACGCTTCGCATTTATAAGAACCCGAATCCAAAGTGTTCGTACGCACGACAATCAATTTGTTTTCTGAAAGAGAGAGAAAAAAAAAAAATCAAAATTATAATACTGAATTTTATTGTTATTGTTATTATTGAAAACCTTCTGTTTAATACGCATTGTTGTTATTATATACCCACGCATTTTGAAACTTGCTTACCGGCTATTTGAATCCGTTCGCTGTTTCGCAACAGCTGTCCGTCTTTGTACCACTGCACGGTGGGTGTCGGATAACCGTCCACCCAACAAGGGATGCTCAAGTCCGAGCCCAGAGAGTACTTCGTAGTGGATAACGAAATATTAACTTGTACCGGAACTGCGATGGAAAAATGTTAATTATTATACATATTATTAAAATATTATATTGCTTCGGACTAATAAAATGTCAAGTATCGGAATACATTTTCAACTACCTATAGGCAATCAAATATTCGAATATCGAACCGTAACTACTCGATAAATACCGCACAATTATAATATTATATTTATGTAGTGAATTTGTCAATGTACCTGCAATATTCGTAATGTAAACTAAATAATTCCATAAACGGGCACAGTCCACTGTGATTAGCACTACTGCAGTAGACGTCCGTGTGATTTGATTTTTCGAGTCGTTTATATGCTATTATGGTTAGGGCTAGGATGTTTTTATTATATGCAATTGAAATCTGCGAAAAAGCGCTTAAATCGACAAAAAAATCTCTTAATATTTAAAGAAGCAAAAGCGGTAGAGGATTTTTAAAGTCCCTCCGCTAACGGTTTGAGTCCTATTAAATACAATTTTCTAACACTGATAAATACAAAGTATTTTTTTTTTTTTTAATAAAACGTTCAAATTTATTTGAAAAAAATAACTTTGTAATAATCATTTTTTTAGTTAAAATAATTGTTTTAATAAGTTAGAACCATTAGAGGAGGGGGGGACTTTTAAACTCCTCCACCATTATTGCTCTTTTAAATATTCTATAATATATTTTTAGAGGTTTTTTTAACGTTTTTAAGTCCTTTGTATGGATTTTAAGTGCATAAACATTTTAACCTTGGACTTATGGTTTATTGTAACGTATAATAGTAGTCGGCACGACCGATATTTTTTGGGACAGCTATCCCGAACAAAAATTTGGTGCATGGATGGGTGGTTGGCATCTTTCGAACTGGGCAGTTGTCATCATTTTATAAGTTACCACCGGATTCTGGATGACTTTTGGATGGACGAACTAATAATTCATTTCGGGGGTAGGGGGAAGTGACTGTCTGTTTGTGCGCACTACACAGTCAAATCTATCAGACGTAGAGGTCTGACACGCAGAAGCGAATAAACAGGTCCGTATATGTATCTCGAAATCGGATTTAATCTCATACAAAATATGCTTAATGTCTGACACATGGTTTTTGAAATTGTCGGAACGAATGTTTTTTTCGTTCATTTATTGGGGGTTCAACTTGGCTACAAGGATTACAAAAAAACCGTTAATATTAGTTGATTAGACAAGGAAGTACCGTTTTTGGAAAATAAATTGCTTGGCAAAAACGGCCAACAGGACGGGGATGGAAACGATAGGTGACGTTTTTTTTTTCTTACAATACTGTGCACGGGCAGATTAAAGAAAATTAGTAATAACAGTCAAATGTCTCGTAAATGATTGAAACAATTTTGTTTTAAAAGTTGCCTTAAAATTGTTAAAAGTAATGATCATAATTCAGTTGTTTAATTCGGAAATCTCGGATCTAAGATTATTGTATTCTCGAATATATCGTGTTTGATATTATATGTTCTTAATCACGGTCATTGGAAGGGGGTAAATGGAAGGATGAGGTGGAAATGGGTGCCCCTGGTTTTTTCCTTTGTACTGTATGAAACATGTAATTTAATTTTCATTGATAAATTAATAAGTACAGTGGCGTATACTGTAACGCATAAGTTTGTTTCATTTGGACTTTTTTTAGAAATATATCCTTGTTCTGTGTACCTACCAGTGCGTTACAGTATTATTCACTCATAAATAATACATATATTTTACGTTTTGTAATAATTCGATAAGTTTTTTGATAACGTTTTTCGTACTAAATGTATATATCTACTGTATACTACAAATACCTGAAAAATATATTATAATATGTATGTGTACACCTTGTCAAACAAATTTCACCATAACCAAAGCTTAGTAGACGATTTTTTTTTCATAAGCACATTTTTAGATCGTTAAACAACTAAAACTACATTAAATAATAATTCGTTAGTGATAAGCTCAAATTATGTTTTTTAAAAAGTCATCACGAAACACGAGCAAAAACATCCTTAAAACATTATCGGCTATTCAGTTATATATATATATATAACTGAAATAAAAAAAACCCAAAGCGTTTATTCCTCAGGAAGAATCCTTTATACGGTATAGTTAAAAAAAAAACTGTTAGATCATAATAATAATAATACATAAAGAAATTAAATATTAGTAATCTAAAAGCGTAACTAGAGTTAAGAAAATACCAAAATATAAGATAGTTTTTATAATATAGAGAAATAAAACAATATGTACCTGGTACGATTTATTACCTGATGTAAAAATGTTTGAAAAAAATGTAAATTTCCACCAGTTTGTACCGACGTAAATATTTAAAAAAAAAAAAACTACCATTTTTCGGATAATTCATAAAATTATGTTTATCGGACGTACTTGTAAAGAAAACTTTCCGCTCGAAAAATTCTGCGAATTTTCGTGGAATGTTCTCTACTGGTTGTTTTAATTATTATTTTTTTTTTTTTACCAGTTTATGTAATAAAATAATTATACCCTGAAACGATACTGAACCAAAATTACAAAGTCCTTTTAGTTGTTTTGCGAAAATAACGAACGCGATTACGCGATAACCACCCGCGACGACCGTTCGCAATCGAAATCGATTCAGGCGGTCCGGTTAAAATTGCTTACAGCCATTAAATACTGGACGAGAGCCGTCGTTCGCACGACGAATTTCTAGACAACTAAACAGTTCCAGAAAGGTGTTAAAAACAATTTTGTCGTAAACCGTGTACATCACGGTTTCACGTTCGTGCGTCGGACCGATTCTGAATTTTACCGCCCAATTATTCGCTTTATGTAATATCTGTGGACGCGATATATTTAACCACATTATCATATAGTTTGTCAGACAATCATATTATTGTTTCCCTTCTCATTATCAACGGCGTATGCACGATGAGTCATATATATCGTATACTGTGTGTAATAAATACTATTTTTATCGAAAAATAATATAAAAAAAAAAAAAAAAAGAACAATTTTAAGTATGAAATCAGTTTCGTGATGATAAAGTCACGATCGGGCCACCGGGAAACTTCCCGGACTCTCCCGGACTTCCCGGAATTCCATGGCAAATACACGACTGTATGAGAAACGTAATGTGCGCGAGCGAAAAATGTTTACTCTTGGAAAACCTATTCGGCGATCTGCCCGCGATAGCGGCCGGTAAGTACCGAATTCGCACAGTGAACATAATGTACTAGACGTAACGACCGCAGGGCGAGTCGGCGCGCGCGGCGTACTTACCGACAAACAATTTTTGTTGGCGCGTCTGTGTCCGCGTGGTCGTGGTCTCGACGAAGCCGTCCGTCTGCTGCACCGGCCGTTGCGGTGTCCTGTAAATCGGCGGCGGTCTGGTGTTGACGGCCACGGGGGCGTCCGTCAGCTGCGGTCGAGTGTTCATACTTACGACCCTGTAGACGGGCGGCGGCCTGGTGAGCTTGACGAAGATCGGTCTGATCCGGATCACGTCGCCGCTGGTCGGATGCTTGGGCGGGGGCACTAGGTACGGGTTGTCCGTCGGAGAGCCCGCCAACCCAGTGTCGTACGCTTGGAGCGTTATGCTCCACGACGTGGCTCTGCCTACCCCGTTGTACGCCTGGCACGTGTACGGGCCGAGCAGACCGACCGTCACCCTTCGGATGTACAACGAATGATCGGGGCGCTGTTCGAACACCTCCGAGTTCATTGGCAACATGCGGTCGGCGCGCCACCACACGACCACGGGCCTGGGCCAGCCGACCGCGTAACAGTGCAACACCGTGGGGCTGTCCAACGAGACCACCACGGCCGTGTTCTCCTCGCCGATCGTGTTGGCCGCCCGTCGTATCGGGTCTGCGAGTTAGTAGCAACAACAATACCGCGAAGGAGAAGGACCGAACAACAAATACACCAATCACATGCGAACACCGAGGGCGTATTAGTTAGTATATTATTGTAATAGAAAAATGGCTTGTTAATACGCACAGGTGAGTAAAGTCACCATCGTCATAAGCAGGCAGTAGTAAATTCAACGATAATATTAGATGAAAAAAAAAAAAAAAAAAAGATCGAAACAAATTACGTCTACAAATAGGTTAAAGCGCGTCCACGGGACCGTATGTAGGTGAGAATGAAGGTATTACAGACATTAGCTGATTGTCTATCGGAAAAAACGAAAAAACTAGAAACTAATAAGGCTCACCTTTAACGGTCAGGTAAACCTCTCTTCTGATCGGTTCGCCGACACCGTTGCTGGCCATACAGATGTACAACCCCGTATCGTATCTGTACAGCCCGACGATCTGCAGAGTACCGTCGGCGAACAGCTTGTAATGTCCTCCGGACCCGTCGATCTGAAACGCGCGCGCGCACAACAACAGCGATTACAAAATATCCGATCGTCGTCTAGTGACAGGGGCGTGCTCAACCGAGGTACGTGGGTGTTACATCTCCCCTCTGTTGAATTTTTTTAAAAAAAATTGTATATCTGATTTTACGCTTTGTGAATTTCTCGTAATTATAACTATTACGAGTATACCGTCGTTTTATTGATATTTTGTTCAGAATATGTTGTTCATTGTGACAATGCTCGATGCGAAACCGTCGTGCCTATACACAGGGCGAATCCATTTGAGTGAGTGGCTGCGTTCGACATTTCGAAAAATTTGTAAAAAAAAAATTATTTCGAAAATTTAAGAAAAATGCAGCTCTAAAATGTTACAAAATTATAATTTTTAATCGTCCTTATTTTTAAGGGTGGAACGATTATCTTATACTTTCGATTTTTAATCGACAACCTGTATGTATCAAGAATAGTAAAAATAAATGTACTGTTCAATTTGATTTCGATCAATCCGCCGACGAGATATTCCACTTTTATGCGTTTCGGTTAGGTCAGGTTAAAAAATAAACGTATTTTAAACACATTAGGTTATGACGAAGATGATGGATAGTAAACCAATAACTCGTGTTTGTGTTAAAACATAATATGCGAGTTGCATAAACTGAAAATTTAAGTGCATATTATAATAAACATTAATACCGGATGTAGTATGAAATAATAACCATTAATCGCGGTTCACAAATAAACCGTTTGCTATGGATACACCGTTAACGAGAATTTAAAATCCGGACTCAAAAAATTTTTATTGAACAAATCATGTTCTTTTTTCTTGTAACTTGGCTGCAACATATGATTTGACGATCAAATTACTAAATAAATACGTTTTTGTATTTTTAATCTAATCGGGAGATGGGGATATAACCCCTGACGTCCCTTAGTGCGCAGTAGTAGTACATAATAGTAATGGAAACTGTATAACTTTTATGATGTTATTATAATGATATATTACCAGTGTGGTGTTCTTCTGCCATACGATTGTCGGCGTGGGTTTGCCGATCACGATGCACCTGAGTGTAGCGAAGTTGCCCTCTTCGGCCTCGACGTTCGAATCGGCGGTTACGATTTGTGGAGGCGATTCTGTCAGATCACGCCCAAACTCATTATTATTATTGTTATTATTATTACTACCTACTAATATTTACACGGTTAGAGACTTATCAAACACTTTTTTGAAATTTTACTCTATTGACGTTTATTAGAAACATAAGTATTCGCCGTTATATTATAATAATACGCGAGGGCGTAATTTTTTTCCTCGTGGTTAAAACATTGTCGCATAAAATATAACAACTAAACCCCGATTTTTAAATTAATAGAAAAACATGTTTGTTTTTATTTTTAGACATCAATATTGACGTTTTTGTTTTCAATTATTTATTTTTTCGTATTGCTTATTGACCCGGAACCTATAGGGTGTAATCGTGTACTACAAAGTGGCAGAATAATTCCGGTTGACAATTGTTAATAATTTAGTATTAAAAAAAAAGAAAATGAAATACGGTTTTGTACCTTTGATGATGCAAGAATGACGTGGTCTACAAATTATATAACTCGAAAAACACTTTAGAGTGTAATTTTTTCTGTTTTCCGTGAGCACGGTTTTGAACGGATTTTATTATTATACAACGGATACCTGCGATAATCACACACGACTATTTTGTACCAAGGGCGGATCCAGGATCTGTTTACGGAGAGGACACTTAGATTAGAGAAATTTTTGCTATACTGCATTTTTAATTATTAATAAAACCGTACATACGAAATAAATGAAATATAACTGTAATACAATTATAAAAAATCGTAATATAGATGGTATTGTCGATTGTGTACGTTATTACGAATTAAATATTTTTATTTAGTACCCCATAATAATGTAGTAATATGTAATAGGTATGTACAACAAATAAATACAAATATAATTGTTTTTGTTTTGTTTTTTTTTTTTGGCAAATGAGAGGGAGCACTATCCCTTTGTGCTGTACCCCCTGGTTCCGCCCTCGATTTGTTCATGTATTCGAACGAGAATTATTGGAAATATTATCGAGTGAATCAATTTTCTAAAAGGGCGTTCAAATTGTGTATACGCAAAACTAGACAAGTACTGGGCGTGCGATGACGTCTTCATACAATTTTTGTAGTATCTTAATATCTATAAGTTAGGAAATGATAAATATAATATCGTCGGCTTAGAATCAGAGAATCGGAGAAACGTAAAAATTAAAAAAATATATACATGTATAATGTATTTTTTTTTAATAAATATTAACCAATTTCAATCTATTTTTTTACTATTTTTTTTTTTATTAACCAATTTAATAAAAAATATATATTCAATTTTAATAAAATAATTGTATTCGCTTATTCTGAAGAATTAGTATTTGGTTGATTTGTTCCTTTGATTCTAAGCCGATGGTACAAGTCTGACGAGTATCAGTTCAATCTACTACGAGTATACACTCTCCCTCCAACGGATAAACAAAGATGTATCCCAAATTAATATTATGCACTCTAGTTCTAAAATTGCAGACAGTTTATTCCTGCAGAGCTCGGTCATCGGTACCTCACCTTTTTCTTGCAACGCGGAAGTTGGCGAAGGTGTTGTCGTCGTCGTAGTAGTGGACAGAGTTGGGCGCAAACAGAACGTACCACATCCGTTGTAACAACATTTGTCTTCTCCCATGCAATCGGCATCCGTCCTGCATTGTTCCGCGCAGTTGCTCTGGTAGATCGTCAGTTGAGGACATTCTCCCGGTTTGAATACTGGCAAAAGAGATACCCAATAATGGTCTAATATTAATTTATAAACGCGACAATGCAATTTGATTGGTTTTAATAACGCATTGACAAAAATCTTTAGGCATGAATTGTTTGAATTAGTGCATAGACAAATATAATATAATAATCTAGACGGTTGTATGATTTTAAAGAGGTAAAAGTTAAATTTTAATTTAATTTTGTTCAATAATTAGGTATTTAACAATATTTTATAAATTCTCTAAGGCGATCGTGGATTGTACCCACTATTCGAAATATAGTTACATAATAAAATACTTATGTACCGGGTCTACACGAAGTCTTGTATTTTGTATCTCCACTATCTGTGGTAATCACGTCCACTATACATTGATAATCAGACGGACACATTGATTTCTGATCGGGTCCCGGCGAACAAGGATTATAACAACGACAGTCTTCGCAACCGAAGGTGTTGACCCAATGTTCGAGTCCATAAGGACATCTTGTCGCTTCTTCAGATAATTGTTTGCAACGCAGTTTGCCCGCTTTACAAATGTCTGTAGATATTTGTGGACCTTCCGTAGGTTTTGATAGCGTTTCATCATCGATTTTATTCGCTGTCAAACAAATTATAAAAAATATATTTCAGAACAAAATTAAACCTAGTACACTTTTTTATTTACCATTAGGATCAATATAAGGATAGCATGTTCTTTCGCATTCCTCAAGCGACTGGAATTTATTTGCATTTCCTTCACAGCCACCAAATGCAAATACTTCGCATCGTCTTGTCGATGATTTGAAATACCACATATTTACCTAGTATTCGGAAAAATGTAAAATTTTAAATTATTATCTTTCGTGTTACTAAATAAAATCAATCTTACGGTTTGAAGACATGGTCCGGGATCAAGTGGAATAAGACAAGCATCGCTTGGTCGTGATGTAGCAGTTAATGGCGATGCAGCAACTGTTGTTATAACATTTCGCACACAACGGGATTCACAAGTCAATCGATCGTTAAAGCGATTTGCGTTGCCTTGACACCCTCCAAATCGGAATTGGAAACATCTATCATTGTTTTTATCATAATACCACTGTATTATATATCTCGAATTTTCACGACATCGCCCTCCTACTTTTGGTAGTTCACATAGATCTAAGAATAAAAAATAATAGCATTTTAATTTGATTTTTAAAATTGAAACGGGCATTTCCAATTTTCATTACCTTGAGAGTTGAAACATTGTTGTTCACAGTCTTGTTTAGAATCGAAACGGTTTTCATTACCGCCACAACCACTGTACATAAATTCGTTGCATACACCATATTGTTTATCATAGAAATATTTGGATGTTGTTTCGCTACAGTTACCAGGGTCTTGGTCCAAAAAGCATTTGTCTGCAAATTGTATAAAAACAAACATATAGTAATAATAGTTAAAGGTATATTTCATATAATTTTTTAATTTATTGAATAACCTTTTGAAATTTGAGGTGGTGCCAATGTTGTTACACGACCAGGATTACACCTATTTTCACATGCATATTCAGTAGCAAAATTATTTTCATTGCCACCACAACTTCCATAGTGAAATTGTCTACAGTGACCTTCCAACGAGTTGAAGTACCAACGGACAACATAGTTTCGACATTCGCCGATAAGAGCTGGTAGTTTACAAGTATCGATTTCTGAAATATTAAAAAATTAGTTTATTTTACTATTATTATAAACCAAATATAAATAAAATAAATTATAACCATTTAATATGGGTATATGCTTACTTCTTTTAGGTGGACATTTACTTTCACAAGACTCTTGTGTCTCATAACTGTTAGCGTTGGCACCACAACCAGTATAATAGAAAGGCTTACATGCGTTTTCATTGTTATCAAAATACCACCTGGGAATCTTCTTAGAGCAACTACCCCGAGCAACAGCCATCAAACACTCTTCTAAATATGCACCAAACCCACATGCGTTTCATGTTAGTAGCAAAATATTGTTATTAAACTAAGTTTAAATAATATAATATTAATGTTATATTAAATCTACACGCCATGTTATAATAATTGTAGGTATAATATATTTTACTCGTATTTAATACAATATTATAAATAACAAAGTTAAAACACATCAGTATTAAAGTATGATAGACTCTGCAAGTTTAGAAGATACATAAACACCTCAAGTCCATTTTTAGTTTAAAGATTCAATAGGATATTTTTGTATCTTTAAGTAACAGTTCTGAATAACAATTCGTTTTGTATTTGGATTTTAATTTAAATTTATTTTTGTTTCCACCATAACCTATATACACGATTTCTTATCATGGTTCTAAAACCAATATATTTTAGAATCATCCCACGGACCAGTCTTTTAGTAGTTTACAAATATCTTCTTCTAGAAAATAGATGATTGATACATAATGTCGATAAACCAAAACCGATAGGAATAAGTAAGTATGTTTAACTATCGTTTCTTCATTATATTTGAAACTAATGATACTATTTACTCTTTTCACATTTTTTTTCGTGATATATATTATTGAATTATTGAAGCATTATTGAATACGCTTATCTATCTACTAACGTCATGCAGATTTAAAACAAAATATTATTAATTCTACTTAAATTTTGTAAAGAAAAACTTTTACTTTGGTTGATAAGCGAAATTGTATTTGTTCTTACCTTGAGTTTTTAGTGGGTTTATACATTTATAACTGCAAGACTCTTTACTTAAGAAATTATTTTGATTTCCTTTACAACCACCATAGTTGAATAATGAACACGTTCGGGCGGATTTATCATAATACCAACGTGAGAAATTGCCTTGACAAGGTCCTGGTGTAAGAGGCTGCTCACAGGGGTCTAGAATTAAAATTAAATGTTTTATTTAAAAATTAACTACATGGTTAAATAATTAATATTTTTTATACCCATAGTATTGGGAGCAACACAAAGGTGTTCACATTCTTCACGTGTTTGGAATTTGTTATTATTACCGAGGCATCCACCATAATTAAATTGTGCACATTGTTTTCGGTCCGCATCATAGTACCAAGTAAGATAATTACCTTCACACGGACCCCTGCTTTTTGGCAAGTAACATACATCTGTTTAAATAACCAAAATACTTAATTATTAAGTAATTAAAAAAATATTATACGATTAGGTAGAAAAATATGTCAATAAATATTTAATTAGCCTATGAATGCTGTGTCTGTATTAGTAATTAATAAAAGTACGGTTAAAAATATTTAATATGTGTATTTAAGTCAATGACGATTGATAATAATTTATTGAAAAGAATATCATTGTTTTTCTGCATCATTTTTGTCAGCCAAGAATACAACTTTTTATATTGTATTAGTTATTACCTATTTATAGATTATTTATTTACCTCGTCCGGATGGTTCGATACATATAGATTTGCATTCTTCTTGCGTTTTAAAACGATTATTATTTCCATCACATCCTCCATACCAAAATCTCAAACAATCGCCATATTGGTCGTCGAAGAACCATTTTACAGTGAAATTAGAACAGCTACCACGATCTTTTGGTTCTCTACAGCTGGCTAAAAAGTTAAATGTCAAAATTAATTTAAATATTTCTATTAATCAAATAATATATATAAATACCTCCAGGTAAAATCGGCTTAGATTGACATCCTTCGAAATTGTCTCCTCTTGCTTCAATAATACCGTCTAAACAACATCCATACCTTGATAACTCACAACCACAATTTTTGCTTTCATCTGGGGCTGGTGTTTTTTTGTCACCACAACATCCATATTGAGAATATTCACAACCACAACCTTGAACATCACACATTTGTTTAAAAATATCTAATATAATATTAACTTTTCTTGCGTACCTTGTGAATTTGGACCAATTGCTTTAGTGACACCGTCAGAACAGCAGCCGAATTGGTAGGTATGGCATGGGCAACCTTGATATTCTGGTCCTGATGCTGGAGTGAAGTTATCTGGACAGCATTTATGTTCAGTATATTGGCAACCACAGCCAAGGTTATTTGGTCCTCTAGAAGTGGTTGTGTTATCCGGACAGCATCCGAATGGTGTATATTTACATCCACAACCTGTAGTAATACAAAAAGTATTTATTATACAATAACAAATATAAAATAAATGAAAATACCTTGTAAATTGGGACCTTCAGCTGGAACTATATTATCTGGACAGCAACCATATTCGGAATATAGACAACAGCCTTCTTTATTGGGACCATGAGCAGCCGTAATATTATCGTCACAACATCCAAATAGCTCTTTAGTACATTCCGGCATGCAATCTATAAATATTTTTAGTTGATGATGGTTGTTTTAAATTGAAGTTAATGTAATTTAATCATATTTAATTTAGCTATTAAATATTTTAAAACATTTATATTGTTATTTTTTTTTAATGAAACATACTAGTATTATTTCCATTATCAGTACAATTATCAAAATCAACTCCTAAACATCCTTCCAGATTATGTCCTGCTGCTGAAGTGGATCCATCAGGACAGCAACCAAATTCTGAGAACTGACATGTATCAGTTAACACTTTTTCAGAAGTGGATGACACCGTAATAAATCCGTCAGTTGTGACTGAAATAATTTATAGTTAGTTAAAATTGTTCAGTTAAAAAATATACGATAATTAAGCGAGCATAGTGCATTCCTTTTAATATAAAAGCATAAATATTAGTAATCGCTAAACAAAATTTGATATAAAGATCGAGTGTTATTATTAAAAATTACATATGTATTTATTTAATTAGTATTATTGATTTAAATTCATTGAATATTTTGATTGTAAATTGACAAATTACAAATATATACTTTCACCAAAATATTACTGTTATTTTATACAAATACTTTTTGAAAGTGTTAGAGATATCTATTATTTATTTTTTTTCATTTTATTTATTATATAAAACTTACAATTATCTTGACAGCCGGCATAGTTTGGTCCAGTAGCTGCAGTAACAAAATCTGCACAACATCCATATGTAGTTTCTAAACATGAATCACATTCTCCTGATCCTTCACTACATTCATAACAGCCTTGGAAACTAGGCCCTGTAGCGGGTAGTATTCCATTAGGACAACAACCAAATCTAGAATTTGTAAAAATAAATTTACAAGTAAGTGAATAAAAATGTTTGTATGTATGATTAAATTTATAAATATTACTGAGTGCTGTTGCATCCGGGATCAGGAAGTAAAGTGGTTGACAATTCGACAGGGCAACCCTCAAAATCATTTCCTTGTGAAATACTATAACCATCTAAACAACAGCCATATAAAGTTTCATTACATATTGAAGGTGGACATCCTTCATTTTTGGGACCAGTGGCAGGGGATACGCCATCCGAACAACAGTTATATTCTGTATCCTTACAAGTGTGTACATCTGGACAACCTGGAAATTAATTTAAAAATCAAACAAACTTTATTGTTTGTAGAAAGATACATAAAAAAATATATTTATCTAAGCTTTACCTGCACTAAATGGTCCTTTAGCAGGAGTCTTTCCATCAAAACAACAACCAAATTCTGATTTTTCACAACTTCTCACTTTTTTTATCTTCTTGCAAATACGTTTCTTCTTTGTTGTAATCTCAAGCAATGGATTTATATTTTTGGTTGTTCCTATACAAAATGAAATATATTCTATAAATAATTATACATTTTTCAATTTGATAGGATAATGAAAATTAATATTAACCTTTATTAACAGTTGTCTCTGTAGATGTAAAAACGTCTGTTGATTGTGTATCGTCTGTAGTTGATGTTAAATCAACAGATGTCCTTATGTCTGAAGTGGTTGATTCATATGTAGTTGTTGATAGATCTGTTGATGTTCCTACGTTCATAGTTGTTGAATCATCTATAGATGTTGACACATCTGTAGATAGTGAAACGTCTGTAGATATTGAAACGTCTGTAGATGTTGAGATGTCTGTAAGTGTTGAACTGTCTGTAGATGTTGAAACGTCTGTAGATGTTGAAACGTCTGTAGATGTTGAAACATCTGTGAATGTTGAAGCGTCTGTGGATGTAGGTATATCTGTAGTCGATACAGACATAAATGTTTCAGTAGAACTACTCATTTGTGGTTCTGTTGAGATTGTATCTGTAGATGTAAATGGTGTTGACGATTGTTCAGTACTTGATATTTCGGTGCTCGATGATAGGTCAATAGTTGATTTAGAATCAGTAGAGAAGGTAGAATCTGTAGTTCCAGTCAAATTACTTTCTGTAACAGTAGTTGAAATAGGACTAGTTTGTTCGGTTTTTTCTGAACTAGCTTCATTTGTGGTTGATGAAATATCTTCTATTGTTGTAGACTCCGTAAATACAGTTTGAGATGAAATACTTGTTTGATCAGGTGTATAAGTAGATGTTAATTCTGTTGATGACATATATGTTGTTGGCTCAGACGAAGATGAATATTCACTTGTTGATTCAAGCTCATCAAGAGTAGTTACAATAATTTTGTCTGGAATTTCCCTTTTGTTTCGTTTAATATGGGGCTTAGCAGTCGTAGTAGTTGTTATTTTTTCATCAATGATAGAATCTGTAGTAGATGTGAATTCTTCCGATTTTGTAATTGTTTCCATGTTTATTGTAGTTATAATGTCGTAGGCCAATGTAGTAGTCTAATATAAAATAAATAAACGATAACATTGAATAGGTAAGTACGTACATAAAGTAAAATTCAACTATTTTAGTTGGATAATGTCTTTGGTAATATTAGGAAATATTAAAAAATAATTACTTCGTTGTCTGGTTCGATTGCAAATGGGGTAACAGTTATCATTTCATCTTCACATTCTTCTTCGAACGTATCTTCTTCTGAAATTGGTTTGTGTGATTCAACTGGCATAATTTGATCTATGGAAAAACAAACACGAGTTAATAGATACTGTAATGTATACTTATTTCATGCGTATTTATTTAAATGGATATTTTTACCTTCTCCGCACGGATGTTTGTTACATTCATCGCTTGTATATAGCAGTGTTTCGGGTTTACATTGACTAGTGTCTACAGTCGAATTGCCAATCATACAAAATACCTTCCTACTTTTTTCTCCAGAACCACACGGTTTTGAACACTGTAGTTAAGTATAAAATAAATTAATAAATCAAGATTCCATTAATTATAATAACTATTTAGTTAATAATAATATAATATAGATATATACCGCAGTCCACGGTCCTGAAAACCATTGTCCTTTACATATTTCTTTGCCAGTACAGTTCTTAGTATCTTCGTACTTTTTACTAGGGTCACATTTTGCATTATCAACTTTTTTTATTGCCTCACCGACTAGTGATCCACAAAAAACTTTTCTTATTTGTACACCAGTACTACACACTGACGAACACTAAACATATTTACATATAAAAAAAAAAAAAATCTAATAGTATAAATAAAATATAGATGTTTATATATAATGTTAACATGATGACAATTTGATATACCTCACTCCATTGACTAGCGTACCACTGGAACTCGCATGCATCGGAAGGTGTACATTTCCTTACTGTTTCTGGGTATTTTGATTTAATGCAAAATTTACCATCAAATATTTTTCCCTTAGCATTTGCACAAATCACTTGTCTAGTTTCAAAATCCAAATTACAATCACCACACTATCCAATAAAATAAAATATTTAATTATAACTTATATTATTAAATCGTATTTTTATTGCTTACTCCTGACCACGCAGATGTTACCCAATCGACACCCTCACAAGGACGTAAATTACATTGTTTCTCTATATCTGGTTTTTGAGTTTCGCACTCATCATCATTTAAAACAACGATTTTCTTATCCACTTTTCTATAGCAACTTACTTTTCTAATTTGTTTTCCCACTCCACACAATTGGTCACACTGTAAATAAATAAAAAATTATTTTAGTATTTCATTAAATATATTAGCATACTTTTTTTATCCGATGCTGATTTACTTATTTTAAATTTTTATATTATACTTATAATCAGTTATTATTATTAATAATATAGATTTATAATTAGGATTTATATGGGTATTAGAGTCCTGCACATTTTATCCTACCTATATTTTTAGGGCCCTGCCCGGCCTATTTGACGAACCTATAAGAGCCCAATTAAGCCCATCTGAGCTTATCGATAATACTAGATAATAGTAGGTATGAAAATAATTAATAAATACGATAAGTACCTAAATGAAATGTATAATTCTAATTTATAATTTCTTATTTATTGCATTGTAAATGTATAATTTTATTCTATAATCCATTGCATTGTAAATTTATATTCCTAATTTATAATTTATAACCTTTAATTTTTTTTTTTTTTAGACAAATAATTTCAAAACAACATTGGCTCAACCGAGTCACCCAGTAAGCTCGTTCTCCTCTCTTCTATTATTCTATTTAAGAGGACTAAGTGCTTGCTCAATTGTTGCTCTTGTAGCAAATATTTTGGTATTTGGCCTATCATAGATATTTAGCACTACAAAATGTGTGTAAATTACTTCCCAGCTAGATTTTAGGCCTTGCTTTGTCTTTTCTCTTAATTGAATAGTCCGGCTTTATACTGTTCCATTTTATAAAACCCAAGCCCACCCAAATTCAAAATTATAAAATAAGACTCATCCGGCTCAGCCGGTGCATCGATTTAATGGCTATAAAGTTATTAAAATAGAGTATAGCTTTTAAAATGCTTATTTAATATTATAGTCTATGACTAAATGTATGCTTACGGGTTTCCAAGGATCAGTATGCCATAGTGGACACTCTAGTCCCACATTACATGGTTGTTTAGTACTCGGTTTAGGCCCATCGTACTGATCGCAATAGTTACCATCAATAGGAACGTCCGTACCGTTGATTCGTCGCACGCATCCAATCTAAAACAATAAAATAAATTCAAATATTATAAGAAAATGTAATTATAAATTATTATTTTACTTCTCTAGTTTGAGTGCCGTTGGTTCCACATTTGTGTGAACACAAAGTCCAATTAGTGGGAGCCCATTTAGGTGGACACGGTTCCATGGAACACGTTTGTGATTTTATAGGTTCCAAGCCCGGGTCACAAAGTTTTGCGGGTGCTGGCGCTGAGTCATTCTTTTGAGCACACCAAACATCTCGAGTCCTCGTACCTATTAAATTTCGAAATTACATAAAATACAAATAATAATGTATAAATAACAGTGGTGGTCAAATGATTTTGTCATGGGAGGGATATGGATCATTTTTTACAACTATTATTATTTTTTATTTATAATATAAATTATTATACACATTGAAAAGAAACCAGGTTAAGGGAGGTTATACCGCCCCCCTATTTGACCACTTTGATAGATAATATATTTGATATTATATAGAGTGATCAATCTATAATAAGACACTTGTTATATCGGAAAGTATTAATTTTTTCCAGAATTTGTTTTTTAGAATATTTAATAAACAAGGTGTTCTACAATTTTATATTTATTTTATTTAATTGTTACCTTTATTTTTCGGGGTAAAACTACTACCTACTTTTGATTTTCTATTGGCAACCTATATTAAAAATTCCATAAATAGATAAAGTATTAGCGTACTGTACCGCCACACAAATGATACTCCAGGACTCTCCTCTAACCAAACTTAAAAGTGAAATATTTTGTTAATGGATTGACAGAAATCAAAAATTTCAACATTCAAATTTATTTCAAATAATACTCCATTTATTTATGGAATTTTTATTATAGGTTGCTATTTGAAAATCAAAAGTAGGTTGACAAAAAATAACATAAATATTAGTGCAGCTTGTTTCTTAAATGTTCTAGAAAACAAATTCCGAAAAAATTAAATTATTTCTGAGATAATGAGTGTCTTATGGTAGATTTATTACCACGTATATATTTAATATTTGATAGATAATAATATAACTACAATTTTGTCCACAAGTATGGTAAAATATGTTAATAATAATATAATAAAGTATACCCTGATTATTATACATATATCCGGTATACCTGTGGCCAAATATATCTTATAGTTTCTCAAGTTAGATTAGGTCAAAAAAAAAAAAAAAAAAATAAAAACTGAGAAATTAAAATATATGGTACATTTTTATAATAATTAATGTTAGCTTACCACCACCGCAAGTTGTGTTGCATTCGGTAAATTCATTATACATCCAACTGTATCCCCTAGACAATGTTTGTTTTACAGCATTAGTCGGAATACTATATTCATATTCAATCCCAGGATTAACTTCTTGATAAAGTAACTATAGTATACAGATTTTATTAATATAATTATCATTAAAAATAATAATTGCCTTTAGCAAAAATAAAAATAATGTTGTAATTCATAATTGTAGTATTTTATAAATACTTTTCTAGGTTTAGTAAATAAATAGTTGTTATATATTATATTATTGTAAATTGGAATACATTTTCCTTAATAAAGATTATTGTTATTATTATACATATTATGATTGTTTTTATCATGAACCATTAATTATCTCGGAAAATTTTAAGTAAATTTGATTTCTGTGTTTTTTTTTTTTTAATCTTTGTGGAATCGTTTAAGCTTAATTTTATCCCTATTCCATTATATATCTTAAATAAATATGTACTTTTATTTTTCAAATAGGAATTCCTTTTTTGAATACAGGTTCCAATAGAGTATATTTTTCTAGAAATTTTGATTTGCATAACACTAATATCAGATTTACCGTTCATAAATTATAAGTTAAAACTATTAAACGTTTAGAACTATTAAACTTTAGATTGGAGGATTAGGGAAGAGTTATCAATTTATCGTTTAAAAAAAGTTATGAAATTATCACCCTTCTATATTGCTTCAGTCTAAACTTTAAACAGTTATAATTTATAAACGGTAAAGTGGTTAAAAACGGTTAGTGGTATGCGTGTCAATATGTCTAAACAATGCTCTCTATTCAAATCTGTGTTCAAAAAGAGTGGTTTCTATTTAAAAAACAAAAGTACATAGTACTTATTTAAGGTATTTACAAGGAGTAGGGGTGAAAAATTAAAAATGGTTTCAAAATCAAGCTTACCTGATTTCACAATGATTAAAAAAAAAAACAAAAATCAAATTCAATTAAAATCATCTGAGATAATTGCTGGTTCATGATAAAAAAAAAAATGTATACGTATGATGCTGCAAAATTGAATTGCATTATTGATATGCATTATATTATTACTCACAGAAACACTTATGAGCAAAAAAAAAAAAAAAAATAATAATAATTTCGGCTTACCACAATATAAATAGCTTCTGATATTGGTCCTAAAGCTGTTACTATTTCGGGTGTGTAAAGAGCTCGTTTTTTCCTTTCGTAATGGAATACTGTATTACAGATCGGCAAACTTCTAGGATAATCGATTTTCCAATTTCCGTTTAGATAGTAGTGTCCGGAAATATTTCTTATTGCTTAATTAAAATAAATATAAATTGTTTATTTTGGTTATTTTCAAACGGTATTTTAAAACTGTTAAAGTTACCCAAATAGTTATTTGACGGTTGAATTTCTCGTACTCGTATGTTAGTAGCGCCTGCTGGAATAAGTAATAAATCCGTATACCCTAAACAAAAGAACATCGGTAATTTGAAAATATTTTATAATAATATAACATAATATAGATAAATAAACTAATTATTTGAAATATTTGTTACTATTATGGATCAAATTCAAAATATACGTATAGATATATTTATTTTACGTAACTTGCAGCAGGGACTTATTTTAGAGGGTGGTTATAGGGACTATTGTCCCCCGTGGATCTGTATTTATGTAACTATTTAGTAATTTAGTATATAGATTTTAAAAATATAGTGGATAAAATTATAATATCATATTATTATGATACAATGAAAAAAAGAAGTTTAAAATTGCACCTTAATATTTGTCAACGAAAAACCAAAAATAAAATTGTTTCAACGATTTATAAGTAATTTATTACTACAGTTATCAGAACACTAAAGTCAAAAAATATCTCAAAACAAACCCCTCTCTCCCCCCTCTTACTTACGGGTCTGTCGAGGTAAATCATCAAACGCTATCAGTTTAGAAAAACAAACAGAGTCATCGATTCGCCCCCCCCTCCTCCACTAAAATAATGACTAATTACGCCCCTGATTTGCAGTATAATATTATATTACCAACCTATAATAAAGTCGATATAAAAAGTCACGTTAATTTTATATTTACCGACTTGTATTATGTTTAACATTTCGGCGTTGACAACATTTTATAAAACGGTAAAAAATATTATAGGTAACGATTTTGTTACCGATTACGTGTTATTGTTTTATCATTATTATTATAATAAAAATGTACCGTATTGTAGATCGTTCATGTCCAAAATTCCCTGGACTGTGTTGCAGTCGCTGTTGTCGCCTCCGCAAGTGCGGCAGCGATCTTCTCTTACGGGCGATCCGAGTAGATAATCGCATCCGACGGGCTGGAATATTATACGTATACATAGATAGGCAATAGTTATAGGTTGACAATGTAAACATAAATATTAACAACACACGAATTCTACAAAATCAAATTTGTGTATTATATTGTGTACTAACGTACCGCTACCAATGCGGGTTAAGTTGAATAACCATTGTATAAGGAAAGCTAATTTTGTTGAAGTCTCATAGTCCCGCTTAATTTTTTTTTCCGATTTGAGCAATGTCAGTCATTGATTATCGCGACAATAACAATTTTTTTTAAATGTATATAGTACATAAAGTTCATAATATTTAAGTGTAGTAAAATAATTTTTTATCTACTTCAAAGCACTTTAAATTCATTACACGCCAATTTTTTCGACAAAATATATTATTTCAAATTATTAAAATGTATGTCTCTATGCTTGTATTTTGTACATAATTCTATGTGTGTGTGACATTGTTTATATTATTTTTATCATATACAAATAACAGAAAATTAAGAGTAAAATAGTAAACATTTAAAAGTTACATTTCACGTTAAAATAGGCCGGCCCGTGTGATCATAAAATATTTAAGTAATTTAACGAACATCTAAACACCATATTTTTCCTTATGAAAATAAGAAACAAATTTATAAAAAATAAATAATAAATTAAATACCTTTATGTTATATATTATATTATGTAATATTATTAGTGTTATAATATATGTAAAATAAATATCTAAACAAAAACGTAGCCAACAACTGTATTATTGATTTTGTTTTATTTTTGTAAACGACTATGTAATTATTAAATTATGTTTGAACTTTGTATTGGGTGTTAAGTTGAGTTTGATAACTGTAAGAGACGGTTAATTTTTTTAAAGTTCAAACAGCACAACGGACGTCAGGAAAACGACCGGAACGTTAAAGTAATTTAATGTATAATTATTGTGGATATTATGCACACAAATATTACACTAACACAAGTTAGCTGCTAGTTACCTACTAATATTAAAATATAGTAAAGGTTGATTAATTTTAAATACCTACCCAAATAAAAGTAAACGTGATGTGATATTTATTATTTTTTTGATTAGACATTATAATACCGATAATACTATGAACATATTATACTGTTCCAAAAAACCTACCAAACATTTGCCGTCAACGCAGACATCTAATTTCTCTTCGTCACATCTTGTACCGTCAATCACTTTATTTTTATGCCTGTAGTAAAATCGTTCCCCTTTTGGCATACAATTTAATTCACATTTGTTCGGAGCTTTGGTATATGGTATCCATCTGTTTAAATTATTTTTATTTACATTTTTATTCCGGTATAATATAAAGTTTTTTATTTTTATTTTTATTTCACTTACTCATAGGTTGTTCCTTCGAAGGGTACTCGATTAAATGCGGAACATTGTTCGCGACGGAAATCGAAACTTTTTCTAGGACATTCCTAAAAAAAAAAAAATAATAATTATAAATTTGAGCTATACGATTCTTTAATCGATCCTATAAGTTTTGATAAAATAAAATGATTTAAATTTTTACTGATTATTTAGGAATTTGGAAATACCTATTATTTTTACTTGATTAACGTGTTAATCAATTTTGGGTGGTATTTTTAGGTGGGTTTTAACCCTTTAGAAAAATACAATTAATGCGCACAATTTCTGCTTAACTTAATTGCGAAAATTTGATAGTTTAAATATGTATACATTCGAGTATGAATACAAAAAAAAAACCCGTATACTAAAAGTATAAGTATCAAATTAACAATAAATAATAATAGAAGTATTCAAGATATTTCAATAATTCATAAAAGAGAAATTCAAACAGGCAAATTTAAGGCAATTTAAACATTCTGTTTGAAAATATTACATGACATAGAAAAAAATTCAACTGTTACAGTGTTCGCCAGAGACAGAGAGCGCTGGGGATAAATGAGGTGGAAGTAAAATTGTTTCTATAAAGAGGAACATTAAATAAGTTGGAATTTCTTAATCGGTGAGTTTTTATATTAAAACCAATCAGAGATAATAGTTCTGGAGAAAAAATAAGACCATTTAATAGGTCATATGTAATCATAATATCCGCAACATTCCTCCTCAAATAACAAAACGCAATCCTCAATTGGGTAATCTGAATATTATACGAATCTCTTTAAGTGGGTATATTTAATTTAAAGCATAATAGTTTTATAAATTTACACTGAACATTTTCAATTAGACTTGTTTGAAACAAATAGAGAGGGGACCGAACAATTGACCCAAATTTAAGATGGGACCCAACCGTGAAAAAGTATATTGTGTATAAATTATAGATATCTCTTTAACAATATTCTAGTATTTTACGATGATTTACATTAAGTATGCCGATCGATAATATATTCGAATTACATTTCACTTGGGTAGTTTAGGTATTTAACATAATATACCCATTATTTTTATGATTGTATGCCTGTTGAATAAAATATTATTTGTTCAAAAAAATGTTTGTTCTGCAGTTAGAATTTATATAATAACGATCAAGGTATACAATAGTATAATATTACTCACGTGAATATTGCATGAATAATATCTTTTAGAAGGCCCTGTGCAATCTTCGAAACCGTCTCCTCTGAAAATAAATACAAACAATTCATTGCAATATTACTAAGTGCTTATTAAACATGAAATATAGTAAAAATGGTTATAACATATACCTAATTACTCGGAGAAAAGTATTCGACGGACAACGAATATTATATAGGTACCGTATTAGTGTTTGTTCAGTAGAATACTGACAACGTTAATAATAATTATTATTATTATTGGTTAATGTATTTTTTAGTGAACATTGTAATATATAGTAAAATATTGTTCGTAAAAATTGGAAAATTGTAATCAAATGTCTAAACCGCTACTACTATATCATATCGATAAACATCTTAACAAATTTTTTTACTAAAAAAAAAAAAAGTTTTACGTTATATCCACTCTAAAATCCACTCAAACCACTTTAACCATAAAATATTATTAGAGTTTTTTACAAAAACATGTATTGTATTACAATTCTTTTAATCTGGTGTCAGTTCGTGAAGTAAGTATCACATTGAAAAAAAAAAATCTAATTAATTATACTAAGCGAAAATTTATCTAATATACTAATTTATTTTATTTTATTCTTATCTACATATAATTTTACAATCACGCAATCCAATCTACAGGTGTGAAAAAACTGTACTTAACATAACGCACTCAAGTGGGTCATCGAAATCTCGTTCAAACCTATGACTCCATACAAAATATTATCTTTGAGGTGGAATCGTGGATAAAAAAATACCTATAATTTCTTTGTACACATAGATAAATAACCAATAACGCCAATAATATAATAATATATAAGGTACCTGACTGACAAACAATGTCTGGTTTGAAACGCAACACCTCCGCCGCAGCTACGAGAACATTGACTATCATCAGACCATGGACTCCAATTACCAGTTTCTGGATTTTCATTTTCTTCCATATACACATGGTATTCAGGTATAAATCCAGAGCTGCTGAACGTATTGTTCCATTGTTGTCTCTTATGTCGACCGTGTCGGAAGCGGTGCTAATAGACAATATTAAAACCGTATGACATTATATAATTAACATTTTCAACAATAATAATATATATCTTTAGTTTTAGAGAAGACAGGCTTAAATCAATCGTATGTAGTTTTCAATACAAATGAATTCAATACAGAAACTACTTATGGAATTTAGACAAAAAATAAAGGCGAAAAAATTAAAAAATTGACATTGATCTTCTTCCCTGGATGCAAAGATGTTGTGAAGATATTATGAACTATTTTAATATTAAAAAAAATGTTTTAAAATTGTGTATAACACATTTTTACATTCTTTTGATATTTCTATTTTTGATAAATATTTTTTAACACAATTATCAGTGTGTTTTTAAATAAATCTGTGACCATTTAAATACAATATAATCATATAATATAATAATATTGGTAACGAGGTTAAGCGGCTTAAAGATAAGGTAAGTAACCAACAATACTATTCTAACTCTGAAAATTATAAATCTCCTACAATTATTTTAAAATGCGATGCTGACGAGAATTAGAAAAAAAAAATATAATACATTATATTAATTAAAAAAAAGACTGAAGTATGATGGAAAAAAACGTAGAAAATCGGAAAAATTTGCGAAATGTATTATTTTCAAGTCATATATATTACGGCCTTTTAAAACATATAAAATCAAACACAGCTTAAAATCGTTTTTCGTTAGGAACGATTAATCATTGCGTACAGATATATTAAATTTCCCTACCATCTTCTCAACTTCTCACTTACAACAGTGGCCCACCCATTGTGCGTAGTATGTTCGTTTTATTTATACGTCTTAAATCTTCATTTTTCCCGTGCTGTGCTGTTGGGTTTTAGTTGATAGATAGATTAAATAAATACATCAATTTACACAACGTGTACCATACCAACCATACTTTTTTTTTTTTTTTTGGGAGGGGGAGGTTAAACACCTAAAACTTTTCATATTTACGCCACTGGTGGCTATGTGTTAAAAGGAACAAAGTCAATATTTTGATATTTTTTAATGGGAGCAATATTTCTGGTAGAAAACAAAAGTTGCAAAAATTAAAAACAATGAAATCGGTAACATTGCGAGGGTGCCGTAAATATTTACCGGTTTTCCTATAATTTTGTTTTCGTTTTTTCCCAATTATTTTGAAACCCCTTGAAAAATCAAAAAATAACTTGTTCAATGCACCAACTAGATAATATTAGATAATATACCTCTCAGAAAAGGTGCTATATTATATAAATTGGAGAAATATTTCTGGTAGAAAAGTTGTTCACAAACACAAAAAAAAAAACAAAAAAACACGTCACTGTTAAACCAACAAATCCTTTATTATGCTACGAATTTTAAAAAATGTTAATAAATTGGTTTTATTTTTGTTGATTTCTGAGTTATATTTGACTAAGAAGGAAAACAATGACTAATACTTGATCTCCACTCAGAATAGTTTTTTGATTGCAATGATTTATCGTAGCTTTAAAGTTTTTGTATATTAATTTGATTATACCGAATATCCTATACCTTTCAAATTCTTCACATTTCACCTATAATAGTGGTTATCCCACGGTGTGAAGTATGTTCGACTTATTAAATTTGTTTTTTATTTTTATATATTTTACCAGATTTAATAATTATTTCCTAACATACATGTTTAAAATAATGTATAATAAAAATAATAATACTTAGTAAAAAAAAATTGTATTTCGGCGGTGTCCGTTGACTGCTCACACATCATAATACCGCTAACTACTACGACTATACTACACAAAATCGAGAGTTCGTTAGTGAGGTGATTAATGGTGTGTTAAAAATAACGCCACGACACCCTGTCACGGTCCAGGTGCTTCTCACGATTCCCTAATCATCGTGGCCGTGGAAAAAAAAATGGTACAAAATTAATGGAAATAACGGCGAAATGCAGCCGATTATGTCTATTGATTAGAAAATAAGAAAATAATAGGCAGTGTTCATAAAAATATAGGTACTTGTAATATTTTTAAACCGGACGGACTGTGAAAACTATGAAATCACGAATTTTAAACTATATAATTTACACACACGTACGCACAAACACCCAGTGTGTTGACGTATGTGTGTGCGTGTTGTGTTAGAATATTATTATAATACCGCATGGATATTAAGTATTAAGTAGGCATATATAGGTACTATACGAGATACTCATCTTGAAAATACGACCGATTCGAATTTACTGTGTAATAATAAGCTTGGTAGGTAGGTATTTTATTTAACTGAACGTTTGTCTCGGATTACGTTAATATTATGCGCTCTTTAACACCATAAAAATACCGAGATATTTGATATGGTATAACCCCCTTATATTATAATTTACTATATAGTATGTAATTAAATTCGGGATTTTCTTTTACAAAACATTATTTTTCCAAAATATATCTCTTAAACACCTACCCAGGTTCTTTCCCAGCTCATGTTCATTCGGCTGAATACATATTTGAATCTACTTAATAAAAAATCGAAAGTATATCCGTACGGGTATACCTAACTCATTATCGTATTACAAATCACAATAATGCATATTCGATCAAAAAAAAAAAAAAAAAAAAAATAATAATAATAATAATAATAATAACAAAACATCTCACACTTGAAAATCGAAGCAGGATTTTTGGAAGAAAAATTGTTACCATAGAGGAAAAAACACTCATCATAGTAATACCAATATATTCTTTGCTATGCTCAGAATCTAAAAAAAAACACTTAACTAGGCATTCATAATTAATTCAATGGAAATTACGAAAACATAAAAAATGTTTTGCAGTGTTATATAGCATTACGTATTTATCTTATAGGTAATTATAGGTAATTTAAAAAAAAAATATTTGGACGGTTATATTAACTAAACAAAAAAAATTACACGTGAACATATAAGTAGTACAAATTCCTATTTTTTTTTTTTTTTAATATAATATTATAAATTAATAGTGTGTAACAATATTTCGTAATTTCTTTAGAAAGCTTGGTACAAATTATGGAAATTGTTAATTTTTAAATGGGTAAGAAATTCGATGTGCAGTAATTAGAAAAACAATAATAACAATAGCACCCATGAGTACTAAAACAACGAGAATATGAAGGTCATTTAAAATTATGAATGCACATAGTTTAAAAAGAAAAATTTGTTCAATAGACGAATAGATCTAATATTTTTACCAAACGCATATTTCGATTTACTGTCTGATTTTAAACACAGTTTAATATTAAAGAATCATAAAAAGTATATTTTTTTAACAAATGCCAAAACTATAAGTACCTATACCTATATCATCATTCATTTATTTATTTTAACAAGATATGCAAAATTAAACATAACAATATTTCAAAGTAACGAGGCTAGGAAACCAACAATTTACTGAGAAGAGAGAATATGTTATCTAATAATAGATCTGCTGAATTGAATGTTTTTAACGATTTAAGGGAATTTGAAAACAACCACTTGTAAAATGATGGGATAGATTATCTGCACATATATCAACATGTACACGACCGTGAGAATCTAGAAAAATATCATGTCAAAAATTATAAAATAGTTTAGAAAACTCAAAATAAAGATCTAAGATTACGCTTCTTCTAATTTCGAGATTCGTGATCCATGAATATTTAAAACAAAATGCACGAAGATAAAATCTTTTGCTTTCATGTCGGGATCAAACTGTAAATTTGAAATTGACGTTATATCATGAAAAAAAAAAATAGACATGAACCATGAACATTTTAAAACCGTTACATAGATTGTCAAGACGTCAACATCCATTTAAATAATTAATATGTAATATTAAAGGCCAAATTATTTTAATTTAATTTGTTTAACAAACAAAATATTTATGGAATCCAAGAAAAATTAAAATAACTCAATTGTTTAGGTTATAATAAGCCACATGTAAGTAGTAGGCAAGTACAGGAAACAAGTAAGACATGCGCTGTTTTAGGACGGCATACAATTTCAAAGAAATTAAAGTTACAAATTGAAAATAATAACCGTCAAAAAATACGGCAATAAAATTTTAGGGCGGAAAACATATTACGGCGGGCCTGGGTAATTACGTACTATAAATATAATAGACATTTTTAAGTGGGTATTTATTTTTCTTGTAATCATTTAACATAAAAATAGTTTACGATTTAAACGATTTTAAGTGAAGTGTGTTTGTGGGAACGAGTAAAGAATTAACCCCTATTAATATCATGACCCATATCGATTTCTTATGCGGAGAATATTATAATTACATTATAGGCCCTAGAGTATACGCGTAATTTTAACGGTTTTTTTTTTTTTTTAAAAAAATATCGCGTTTATTTTCCAAATTTTGCTTGAAAAGAGACTATCTCTTAACTTTCACTAAACCGTGTCTGATATTCCAATTATTTACCCACATCTATCTTCTTTTCAAAACTTTCAGACACTTTTAGTGGCTTCTTCTGGATCAAACGATCTCATACTCGGAAATTAGAGTTATTTTATAAGTGGATTGAATAGTGTTAAAAATTAGATTTCAATATAGATTTCAGCGTATAATGTTGTGGTATTTTTTAGCGTTGAACACCCCTACATAACTCCCAAATGAAGCTATCTAGAGGGATGCAATTTTGTATATTATGTAAATTACGTTAGGACCAAGAATCCTTTTGGAGGGTTTATTAGAGTAATCTTTCAACCTTTATTCAACCATTTTAATGCTAAAATTTCATATATATTTTTTTTTTATTACAGTAATAGAATAATACAGTACAGTTGTAATACAGTGTAATAATGTAATATTATAAAGTATCCGGTTACCTATTTATTGCTTAAAATATTATATTTCTATAATAAAAAATAACTGGGGAGGAGGGATGTGACTTTAGTGATGGATTTCTGCAACGCTGCTTACGGATATGTTTTGAAAAACGCATTATATTATATTCGTTGTGTACAGATACAACGGAAAATAATTACTTTTATACCTGTAAAAAAACGATTGCAGTTGTCAAGATAAATCGGACGAGATTCGTATTTAGGTATAATAATTACAATAATTTTGATGAAAAAATATAAATACAAAGGATTAAACTGTTTCCCGCGGGGAACAGAACGTTCATAATAGTAATGCATTTATACATGTCAAAACCATAAATATATTACACGACGACGGTGCGATTGAAAAATGTAATCATATAATATTTAGGTAGGTATGAGTACATATATAGTTCGAGTGTGAATATTTTTTAAAATACAGAGAGTTTGTATTCTAACGTAATAATACAAATATGTGATCTGTGGGACAACGGCGATTTTCAATCATCGTCGACCATGAAACATAATACCTATTAAATACCTAGTCGAATTTTCTACGGACCGTGTGGCTTCGAATATCATTGTGACACGATCATTATATATTTTGTTATTATCTCATTTCCACCAAATACGCGTCATTATTCACATAGGGTTTCAACGTCTACAGCCTGCAACCAAGGACAACCCTAAAGAAAGATCATTGTATTTTAGTTTTTCCTTTACCCGAGTGCGTTAAACTTGAGGAGAAACGCAAAATTCGATTAAAATCGAGTTCAAAGACCTTTATTAAAAATCATGTTAATTCGTGATTTATATATTTTTATAAAATGAAAACGATATTCATGATTTTGTGTAACGTAATTTACGTGTATTATGATTTATAGTGAAATATTACTTAATGGATATGTATTATGTAAAATATATACATTTTTTTTATCGATAGTTTTATTTAAAAAAAAAAAAAAAAAAAAATGGGAGGTTCAAATAATACTGCGCTTCATTGAACGTCGGCAAATAACAATATTGATTCCTTAACACGCACCGTTTGAATACCTAATCTACGAAATATTGTATTGATCGAATGTGCCAAAAATAAAATAATAATAACATGACAATCACGGAGAGCAGTCGATTAAAGAATTAAAAATGTCTATTGTTCGTCCGGTTCCCTTTTCGAACTATACCTATACGCAGTCTTTTCGCCGCCATCGTCACATAACTTCATCACTTCACATAAATAACTGATTTACTGATACAAGAATATCAAACAACATTTTTTGTACACATTATGTACAATAATAATGTAGCGTAGAAGAAATTTATTATTATTATAGGTATATATTGTTTACGGCTGAATTTTAAAATCCTATAAACTTGCGATAGGTATTTATAACAACGTCCGTTCGATTAAAACGACGCGCACGTATTTCCGACCGAATTTAAAATCCAAAAGTCATACTAATATTTATATATTTTTTCGAAACTAGGGGCTCTGTACTTGTTGATGGTTACCCATACCGCAAAGCAAAAAAAAATATTGTAAATAAACGTCTATTGACCTCTCCGATTACTAATACATTATACAATGAGTGTTTCAACTCAAATGGAGACACGAAATATTTTAGCCCGATGATTATTATTATTATTATTATTTTTTTTAATTTGCTTGTAATAGGTTTTATTTACGAAAGTCGGTAAGAAGTACCGAAACACAGGTTTTGAATAAACTTTCAGAATGCCTTGCAATGTGTGCAATGTGCATGCACAACAAAACTTATATTTTATTACTCAAATATTGCAAATTTTGTTTTTATCTTAAAACTTTCTTCAGATACAGTTATCTAAACTTTATTAAAAAAAAAAATGTTTTTTTTTTTCAATTTTTCAAAATAATCCTAGACTTAAAACTTTAAGAAAATTGACTACTGTTTTATGTGGGGAAAAAATTATAAGTAAAGTTGATATAAGTAGTCAAAAAGTTTCATATACTAGTATATAACAATATAAAAGATTACAATTTTTAAAGGTAGTATTGTCCCTTAATAAAACTCCAGTTTGATCAAAGTTCATCTGGCTGAAATATTTTGTGTTACCATTTGTGTGAAGTACACTGTTATTATCGTTTCCCGTGGTTCATGTTACTATATAATATGACACTTCATGGTCTTATAATAATTGGTGTTTTCCTAAATTTTAACTATTAAGCTAGAGGCGTATCCAAGTTTTTTCCATGGGGCAGGAAATTAATATTATAGGAAATTAAAACTATATAATACATTAAGTAATAACGCAGGTACCTAAGCAAAATGAAATTAAACCATTGAAGAAATGGTCTACAGAAATAGTCAACGACTAGACAGAAATTAAAAATGTCAATACCAACATGCATTTAAGCTAAAACTTCATAATATATTAATGCCATTTTAACTTTATAAGTTACCATTTGAATATGAAAATATGTTTGTGGTTTCATCATCGAGTATAACAATGACAAAAAATAAGAATACCTATTGTAATATTTTGTGCTGCTTGTTTTTTGAATTGTCCAAGAAAATTTGTTTTCGTAAAATGTAAATAATTTCTGAAATAATGAATGTCTTACGTTATATTGATCACTCTGTAGAGTAAAACGGATATTATAATATTTTTTAATTTTTATTTAATTTAATTATTCTAGTAGAATGCATTTTAAAATGCATCTACCTATATTATTATCATTATGATTTATTCATGTGGTAAACGCTCGCTTAAGTCGAAACTAACCATGCGCATGATAAAGCTAAACGGCCTAAATGACGTGATCATTAGATCGATGCCACGTATATTACTAACATGGCACATAAAAAATATTTGGGTATTGTAGTCTGCAGAGACGTCCGTTGCAGCAGCATAATCTGTTACCGGTTTTATTTTTGAATAATAATTATAATTTAATTCATAACAAAGGGACGAGATGAGATATTTGTCACATTTTTCGTGTCTGTTGTGTTATACTATATAATATTCATATTATATGAGAACTTGACTTTAAATCACCATTAAGGCGTGTTGATAAATAGCTTTCAGTGACCATTATGTTTCCGTTTTGCCGGACAAAAAGATGTGTAGAATATTATAGATGTATGTAGCTAACCAAAAGACCATAGGTACATATAGTATGATTTATGACCATTAAGAACCCCTCCACTCTCATTTCGGAAAAGGAAAAAAAAATGAAATAATAATTGTATAATGCATAATATAATATTTAAAATACACACATATATTAATCGCTCGGCGAACAGGTGCTGGGAAATATAAATAAGCATAACTTAATCGTAATATATTATTTCATTTTTTAGTAGATTATTTTCGTTTTCAAATATAAACACGATAACGTTTAGCGGCGGGATTATTTTATATTTAAATAATAAATGTATAAGATACGTATAAATTATTTAGATATAATATATTTTATGCTATATATTATGCTATACTAGAATGATATACCGTATTTTTAATTTAAAAGCAACAAACAATGTGGAAATATAGAAGCTCAAATAAAAGTGTGAGGGGGGGGGGGGATGTTCGTCCCCTGGACCCATGGGTATAAAGCGCTCGTTACGAATATTTGAAGTTCAAAAATGGTCATACATATGTACGTATAAGATAGTTCGTTTTTGAAATTATTCATAATTAATATAGGCCTATTGACTTAAAATTTAATTTTATAGTAACAAAAAAAAATAAAGACGTATAAAGTGCATTAATGAGTAGGTATTATTGGCATAATTTAGATAAGCGTTTTGAGCGCTTTTATTATAATGGGTATCTAAATTGTAAGTTAAAATATAAGTAATTATGTCCGGCATAAAATATCTAACCTAACTGATTTTAGAACTTTAAATAAAGATATATAGGTACCTAGGTTATTTATAATAAAAATTATAATGACATAAATTTGAAATTAATAAACGTCAATATAATGTAAATTTATAAATTAAATATAAATAAAAAAATGTATATTTAATTAATAAATTTAAAAAAATTAATATTTTGATTGTTAATAATTATAGAAAAATGAGAGCATTTAAAGATTCAATTTGATTAGAGTTTCAGCATCGCAGATTTAAAGTAATTAATAATTAATAATTGAAAAAATGTATACGCCAATTTTGTCAATGACATGTTAGTGTTTGGTAACAAACTATAATGTTCGAATCGGTCCAGTGATGGAAACATCAACTCTTAACGAGTTGTGTAAACAAAATCGGTATAGTATCGTTAACTGAGTGAAATGGTAAAATGAAATAAAATGAAACCTATAATATTTGAAATAATGAGAGGTCGATTGCTTTATGACTCAATTTGGATTCAAGCGTTCGATTTATTTAGATTTTAATTTATGATTTTATACATTTTTGAAACTTAAGAGTAACATGCATTTTACTTTTTTAATAAGTACTTACCTAGAGGAGGATCTACGATAAAATAACGTATGGAGAGACTGGTTTTGAAAATTCATATAAAACATACATTTATGATGAAAATTAAGCTAAGAGTTTATTGGAAAGCAAACGAGTATTGGTTATTCGCCACTGTACTTACTCAATAGTTTTACGATTAATCGGAAAACCAAAACAAATCGTATGTATACGTACGTACGTTGAAGTTTATATTTCTATTGGAACTATTAAACAATGAACGTGGCAATAATAATTTTATTAGACGTCTGAGGGGTTTTAAATTATAATATTATAACCATACATAATGTACATTTTATTGCGATCTGATTTAGATATTTTCTTTCATTGTTTGACACATGGATATACTTAGCAAAAAAATTGAGACCGATTTTCATTCCGATCGATGTATGAACCTATAAAGTGACAGGAATTCTGAAAACAGATTTGAATTTACCGTGTAATATACGTGTGGTCGGAGAAATGCAATTTTTTTCGAAGATTTATCTTTAAACGTCAAAAAATCGATTTGAAAATGTACAACAACAAAAAAAAAAAAAAAAAAATTAAATTGCATTATTACTTGAACCAATTGAAGGAAAATTGGTCTCAATTTCTATACAACAAATAAATATAATGTTTAATTTGTATAATATATTATCATGTTGTTGCGCATTACTCGTTGAATAAAAGACGGAAATATCGATATCAGATTCCTTAAATTTTGAAACACTTACATATGCGAACTAGACGCCGTCGTTATTGGGCTAATAGCCGATATAGATTAGAAAAAAAAAAAAAAGCTACATTAATTTGAAAAACCGAAAAAATAAACCCCGACGGCGGACGGGGTTTGTGAATGAATATTTACGAAACGTCTAGATCGTCAGTCTGCACCCCGATACACCGCATGCAGTATCATATGGTTAGTATTTAGATTTAGGCCATATTTAGGGTCGTATATCACGTGTTCGTTGACGTTTTCGTTGACAAATTCTTGGTATACTCGCGTACTCCTCCTATATATTATACATTTTCATCGCCACCGCCGTTCGGCATACATTCAAAATTGAAACCCGACGAATGAGTCACTACTCACACCGTCCACATGTAGGCATGTATAGTACAATATTTTACACAATATACACATAATAATATAATGACCGATCTTACAGACTATATAGCTGCAAAAACCGTATACGGACGTGCGTTGCACATTTTTAATAAACGCGCCAGGCATCCGATTAGCGGTTAGACCGTTTGATGTTCGAATCGCACACAATATAATATACCTACTGGTATTATATTATTATTATTAGTTGTACAACGTATAAAAATAATAATAATAATAATAATATTGTACACATGCACATGGCTAGCACGTGTGTACGGTTTTTGATGAATGAGGGGATTTTTGGAATGGGACAACAAGTGTGTAATGCGCTCTTTGTGCGTACGATATTTATCTCACAAAAAAAAAAAAGGAAGAAAAAATGATAATAAATACATAGATACATTTTTTTTAAAAATCGCAGTATCCCCGAGTGTCTGGCATGAGCGTGTAATACTAAATATGATTATATATTGCACATATTTTGGGAGCACACGAGTTACACATCCCGAATATAAAGGTACATTTACCACCATATAATGATTGTTGACCCTTCTCCCCCGATATTTAACGGGAGTTAAATATTCACCAGTAAAATCTGACCATAGGTAAATAAAACTAGTGAAATTTTACTGGGGAGAGGAGTGAATTTTCGCTGTTTCACCGGGTTTTTCTCAAATAATACCCATACTCGTGTATTATATTTCAAGGGTTCTTAAAATACCGAAATCGGTAATAAAATAAATAATGAAATTAAGTACGATTATTAAATACATTTTATTACCACAAACAAATATAATGTTATAGAAATAATAAGATTTTTATTTTTTTATGCGTAGTTTTGAAATACTCGATAGTACGACTCGGAATAATATGTAAAGGGATATATACTATGAACCTAAATGGCACTTATTTTCAGTTTTTTACTTACGATATTCAGGGCTCAAATTGGAAAAATAAAAGAAGAGGAATTATGAGACTTTAAAAAATTAACGTCTAAAAAATTAAAATTAATGAATGAATACAAATAACTTATGAATATTGATGTTTTCAAACACATTTAAGTAACTGAAAATTTACAAAAAAAAAAAAAACAAATATATTACTCCCGTAGTTTATGTCTTTGCTTGCGTATTTAAAATTGTTTCTTATTTTCATAAAAAAAATATGTTTAAATTTTAGTTTAATTATTTCCTTTATTATCACACAAGGCAAACGTGCAAAACAGTAATCATAATATTTTTATTTAAGACTGAACAATAAGAATTAAATGTGTATGTACTTTATATCTGCATGCATATTTTTGAAAAATAACGTTATTTGTATATAGACGTATTGCCCTCCGTCCCAATATACATAATTAGTATAAGGGGACATTTAAAAAAAATAAAGGAGCTCCGTCCCCCTGTTCCCCTCTAATTCGAGCACTCTTTAAAATAATAACCAATTAAACGAAATCGTCGTTTTCGGTCAAATTTTACGTCGTATAATTTAATTAGGTACATTCAGAGTTCAGTCCGTATTTGTACAACGATTTTTAAAGCCCTCTGGAACAAATCAACTGTAGCGGGACACAACTCGGTTTTACTCGGGATGCAGCTCGCGTGCTCCACATGATTTTTGTTTTTGTAAATCTATACGTATACCTATAGGTATGTGGTGTAAAAAATAAAAATTAAAAACTTACTTGTTTCGACGAAGTTACGAGTATATTACACGACGCGAGTAGTACCAAAAGTACCAAATACCTGAAAAAACAATTTAAAAATCACATTTATAATAACAGGTAAATAATATTCGTGTAGGTAAGAAATATTACAATATAATTGGCAGATTTGACAAATTTTCCGTAATTCTTTTTATTACGTTTACATTTTTTTATAACCAAATATTATAGGTATTATATAGACATTATCTATAATTTATTACTGGCAATTTACCATAAACCAGAGATGGTGTATACCTTATATACATACAATATTATATTTACTGTACTGAAGACAATATTATTATGTTTATGAATCTCTAACTTATACTTGATTAATGAATGGATTATATTATATAGAGACTGCAGGGGATGCATACTAAATTAGTATAGATACGTATTATAATCATATATTACTATCGTAAGTCAAGAGAAATTATGAATGACATACCCATACCTACTATATATAGACATCAAAAGATCAAAAGACGTTGATATATATTTTAGAGATCAAAAGATATCTGTGTAAAGATTATTAGAATTGCAAGACGCTTTAGGATAATATTATTATGATGACGGAGACGATAATTTCATATAACTAAATAATGGAGAGTAATAATATATATTATCTAGACACATAGGTAAATGTGATGTAACGATAGGTTGATTGGTTGTAGATTCAGTTGTGGCACCGGGGATGTTTAAGTGATTTAGTGCATAATTATTTATACAGGTAATAATATGCACCTTATAAACTGTATATTATAATATACCTACACCTAAACCGTGATGACGAAGGCGTGCCGGTTAGTTTTGTTCAAAAGAGATTAATATTGTAAACACAGTGACAATAACATAAAAATATGTAGAATTCACTGTCGTCAACAATAAAAATTAATAATAATCAATAAGCTGAGATTTCCCCCCTATAATTTATGTTCCGTTACTAAATTATAATCATGAATTATTTTTTAATACCTACCGTAATAAATGGACGCTTATTCATTATTAAATTGTTTACACCGTCGTTACCAATAGCATATTATAAAATGTTTTTTTTAACGATATTTTTAAATTGATTTTGATTTAAGTTTCGTAATAAAACTAAAACGGAAAAAAAAAAGCTGATACTGGGGATGAGTGCAGCAACTGTTGTAATTGGGAAGTTAAGAAGGTAACATACGCAAAGTTATTTAATTTATATCTGTATGTAACGATAAGCCATTGTAACAAAAAACGGTTTGGAGCGAAGTTCGGTATCAGACATTATATATTGAAATGCCGTAATTTTTACGATTTTCGACAAAATTTGATCTTAAAACGTTTGTAAAAAGAAAATCTAACACATTAATCTCAAATGGGTTTTTAGACCATTAATTATAACTTAAAATATACCTTGTGTTTAATTTTTAAGCATTCCTCATGAGTTAGAAAATTTTAATAATAGATACCTATCAAATAAAAACACTTAAAAAAAACATGAAAATATTAAATACCTATAAATAGTCTAAAAATAAATATAATTTTTTGAACATTTTACCACGACAAAAGGCTAAAAGGTATAAGTATTTTGTGAAAACTACAATTCTCAAGAGTAATTTTTAAGTGAATTAAAACAAAATAATACAAAAACAAAAAAATTTGCGTATTTTCTATGTTTATTCCAGATTATTCGTAATTAATAAAAAAACTATACAGAAAATCAAACAATGACTTTTCTAATTACAAACAAGACAACATTTTCTTTCAAAAATATTCTATTCTTAAAATTTGGACGAAGATTTTTGGTAGAAAAATATAATGTTAACAATTTTAAATAATGAAATCTTTGTTTTGTAATTTTAAAAATTGTATTTATTTTTTTTATTTTGGTTTTACCCAATTTTTATGAACACTACTTTGGATATCAAAAAACGACATTCTTCGATAGTGATTATATATTAACAAAATCGGTCTCTTAGTATTATTTTTATTAAATCAATAATTCCGGTAGAAAACATGGTTTGCAAAAATTAAAAACCATGGAAACGGTAACGCCACGACGCGCCGTAAATATTTGTTGTTTTACCTAAAATTTGCTTTCCGGTGTTCCCCAATTATTTTGAAAACCCCTTAGAAAATCAAAAAAAAAATGAATTCCCTATACACCAATTAGAGCAATTCTCCTTTCAGAAAAGGTGCTCTACTTTAATACTTCGGAGCAAGATTTCTGGTAGAAAAATTGTTCACAGACAGAAAAATTAAAAAGTACATCACAGTAAAACCAATAAATCTCTCACAACGCTCCAAATTTAAAAAAAATAACCATTACCTATGTCATTACTTCATCCACTAGCTAAATTAACAAAATTATTCTAAACCGATATAGAATACTAACAGGGTTGAGCAGTATCACAGATACATGTATCAAAGGTATAATTGTATCTTGTTTATTTTTTAGTTTATGTAATCCATCTTGCATAGTGTATCAAGATAATTTTTATTTCGATGTTAACTATCGTTTTACGCTAAAAGATACAAAAAGATACAAGATAAGTGTTTCAATAAGGCATAATAATATTTTAAAGATTTGTTTTATTAAAGGTTAAAGTTATCAAGAATTTATCAGTATAATTAACATTTAAAATGATCTAAATATATGTTATTTATATTCATTAAAGTAAATAAATATATAAAAAAAAAATGTATGTATAAAGATAAAATTAATTAATTAATGAATGCGTCGCCTGGAGTATTATGATACGTGTATTATACGGCTGGTTTTGAATTAATATCATAATACTACAGGCGACGCATTCATTAATTAATTAATTTTATTTATATATTTATTTACGTGTATTAACCATTTTAATAATTTTGTTTTTAATTTATTATTTTATTATTTATATTTATTAAAGAATGTGTAAGAAAAAGCGTTTTCCTTCGTTTATTATATTAATTTGTCATTTATATATTATTTCGTACTTTTATCTTATGAATCTTTTGAATCTTATTTTCGATTAGTAATTATTTTTAAAGCTTACATGGAAGGTGAATCAGCATAATATTATTTAAAGACGTGTAACAGTTATACCAAAACATTAAATGCAATATTACCGGAAGATTCTATAACTGAAAACTTTTTGCATGATTTCTGACATTATGAATTATAGTTTTTTAATATACAACATGAAATACACGGTTATGTTAGCTTTGAAACTATTAAAAAGAATATATATATTTTTTTTTTTGTAAGGCATAAAAAAGTACTTTCTCGACTTATCTATAAATACGGTACACCGCGCGCGGTATGGAGTATCCGGATTTAAATAAGATGAAAAAGCATAACGTGACCCTTTTGTACAATTAAAAACAGATGTACAACTTGGTAGGTATGTACATTATTATTAGTATGGGCGAACACACGTTTTATCGTTCTAAACTGTTATTCATAGATCGAGAGTACTCATAATAAACATATTTAAATATTATGTATTTTATAAAAAAAAAAAAACATAAATAAAAAATGTATAATAATACAATTTATAACACTTTACGGTTGTATTGTAAATGTTATTTTTATTATGTTCCCACCATAGACAATAATTATTATATACATATGAATATGAAATACAAATCAAATGTACTTTAATTGTTGATAATTAATAAGAATGTGGTCGGGAAATTAGGTATTTTATTATTTATTGGTGAATTGTAGTCATAACTGGAGCAGAGCATATGTAGCTCTAAAAAGTATGAAAGTTTGAAAGTATGAAAAGCTTGTATGATCGAATGAATAAAAAAAACTTTTTGTCTTAATAAAACTTTTACTTTTACTTTTTGTTAATTAAATATTATGTAGATATTAGTACATTACATTGATTGATTCTTAACTATATTTAATTTGATATTTTTTCTTCTGGTACCAAAAAAAGAAACATTTTAGATTTTAAGTAAAGCGAATCAATTAAACCCAACATATTCTATTAGTTTTACAATGATGGTTATTTTTTTTTTTTATATTGTGTACAAAATATCTACCAAAAATCTTACTCTAATATATCAAATTTAGTATTTTTTTTGAAAAAAAATTTTCTCTAGTTAGTACTTTAGGGAGGTTATATTTCGTTTTTCATAATAATTTGGAAAAAATGTAAGAAAAACGTAAGGATAAACAGACAAATATTTACGGAGTAATGATTTCATGATTTAAAATTTTTTATTTTATGTTTTATACTAGAAATCTTGCTTCAATAAAAAATGATGAGAAACATTCTTTGAAATTATTGTTGTTAAATTTTTAATGTAGTTGATAAATAAGAATATTGTTTTTTAATTTTCCGTATAATTATTTTAATAATTGAGCAAAACAGAAAAGAACATAGAAAGAATGAGAAAATTTACGAAAATTTAAATTTTATTATTTTAAATTTTTCTGGTGAAATTAGTGAAATTTGAAAAAAACATTTGTGTCATTTTTAAGCTATTTATAGACATTTAATTTTGCGAGTTTTTTACGTAATTTATATTTGGTTGGTACTCTGTGAATAAAATTGTTAGACCAAACAGAAACGCTTGAAAATTTAACAGGAAGTTCATTAAAAGTTGTACTTCGCGGTTAACTAGAAAAAATCGAGTTAAATATAGTATTTTTTTTTTTTATTATTATTTTAATATCAAATTTTGACGAAATCTTAAATATTACGGCATTTTTAAGCATGTATAACCGAACTCCGCTCAGAATGGTTTTTTTGTTTTTCAATAATTAATCGTTGTGTACACATACAGTTATTGCCCTCTCTATTCTACCTTTCTAACTTCTTACCTACAACAGTAGTCCACCCATCATATGAAGTATGTTCATCTGCTGAATATATTAATTTATGATTTTATTAATGATTATTAGTTTGCTAATTTGTTATTTTTAATGAAATTGTTTAATTTAAGCGTTTAATTTAAAATCGTGTTTAAAGATAGTCTGTGTTCCTCTGCGCTAACAATCCAACGACCAATTAAAATTTGTAAATAATTTAATTTTTACTTTAATTTAAATTTTAAACAGGTACCTATGATTTTAAATATTAATGATTTTAAAAATATTCCTATTTGCATTTATCTTTATAAAATATTGCCTGAGTATACTCCTATCTACTAGGTACAATGTATGATTATTTACTTAAGCCTTATTTTTAAATGAGAGTTTTCTATTGTAAGAATACCTACTAAGAGTAAAAAAATTAAAAACGTTATTCATAGAACGGTTATGCGAAAACTATAAACAAAAATAACGTTTTTAAGAACGTTAAACGAAAACGATCATTTTTATATCGACGAACAAAAACGGAAACAAAAAAATTAAAAATGTTTTCCACCATTGAATTATTACTGATAAAAGTAAAATATGTTAAAAAACCGTCTCGTATTTATATACGAAGTATCCAACACGTGGCATATACAAATCTCTACGTCGCGCGTCGGTTAAATGTGATAATTTATTATATTAGATTAGATTAGAATATATATATATATTTTTTTTTTTTAACTATAGGTACACGGTACACCGTGTTAGACAGTTCATTTTTTTGTTTTAATGTCAAAAGTACGATAATTTTATTTTTCCCATATCAAGAACTCTCATAGGAGGTGTAAAATACCGAAATAATACAGGTAAACGTGCGTTAAATTGTTAAATACGAACATGCTATACGTATACGCGCGTTGGCAGTAAAACAGATCAATAAATCTTCATTCAAACGGAACAAGTTTAAATCGAAAAAAAACCGACTGAAAACAAAAAAAAAAAAAAAAAATTTAAATAGTCGGGGAAGAGTTTGTACGATTTAATCGAATATAATATAATATTATTATCAAGGGACGTGCATTCTTTACCGACCGATTATATAGTATATTGTGAATGGCGGTAGGCTTCAAAAGTAACCGACAACATCGACCGGTCTGCGGGGGAAGCCGCAAGCGGAACAATGATGGGTATTATACGTATTGTAATAATTATTACATTATCCCCCTTTTTTTTTTTTTTTTTTTTTGACAAATTGGTATCGGAGGGATTAACGAATAATTGTTATATAAAAACAAAATACTACCTGTATTAAATTATTTAGGCCTGGAATATAACAGATATTTTACGACGACATTAAATATAACTACGATTTACTATATACATATATATATATATATATATATATATATTTCAATTGGCATGTATATTTTTTAATTTATATATCTCGTTAACTTATCAGTTGCGTAAGTTTTTGCTTTTAAAATAGCCGTGACATTTTGAGGTCCTGAGTGCAGCGAAGAATGTTTTGGATTTTGGACAAAGGCGTTTATTTTTATTTTTTTTTTATTTTATGTGAACACTTTTTTTACCAAAAAGCTTACTCCGATGTATACGATGTAGACCCTTTTCTGAAAATAAATTTTCTTGGTGTAGTACCTTAAGGAGATCATTTTTCGATTTTTCCAAGTGTTTTCCCAGCAAATGTAAAAAATCGAGAATATCGGTACAATATTAAACAAATATTATCAAAGAAAATGTATGATGTCTATTTATTTTACCATAATAAAAGACATATACTCGTATATTCGTAAAAAAACATCACTATCACTGAACTCTGCTCAGAATCGTTTTTTCGTTAGCAATGGTTTATCGTTGCTTACAAATATATATTAAATTCCCTTCTGTATCCTACCTTCCCAACTTCCCACCTACAATAGTGGCTGTATTCACGTGCGAAATATGTCCGTCTTTTTTTGTTTGACAATATTGTTTTTTAAAAACTTCAACGTACGTTTATAGGAAGTGCAGCTCTTGAAAATAGTTCCGCAATATTGCTGTTAGTTCGACTGAGAGTATTGAGACAGAGAATACGGATTTAACGTCATTTTCATAACTAGTGACGTCAAACTTGACATCCGGATTCTCTTTATTACCAAAATGATTTTTCCTTTTTCTGTCGAATTTTCTTCGAAAATAGAAACTATTGAACTGTATTGTGCCTGTTATGCCCACTACTTTGGGACATTTATAGCGACTCCCTGTAGTCGAAAATAACTCAAACTAATTAGAGTTATTTTATTGGTGGACTGAAGATTGATGTGATAACGTTTAAGTTGAACTCCAATTTGAATTCAACGGGTCGCTAGAAGAGAGTGTTTTTTAAGCTTCGCATGCCCCTACAAATCCCTAAACGAAACATTTCTAACGAAAAACGTTTTTGAACGGAGTTCGATTACAAATATGTTGAAAAGCCATAATATTTACGATTTTTAAACATTACATTTCTTAAATTTTCCCGTTTTTCCTACGTTTTTTCCATTTATTATGAAAACTTCTGGGATAGGTTCAAAAAATAATCTCCTTAAAGTACCACTCCAGTCAGATTTCTTTCCAAAAAAAGTGCTACGTTTGAAAATCTGAGGAATATTTCTGGTAGAAAAGTTGTTCGCATACAAAAAAAAAAAATAATAATAATAATAATAAACATCATTGTAAAACGAATACATTCCTCGCTCCGCTCAAAATCAAAAATTTTGTATTAATTATTACAAAACGTATTTTTGTATAGTAATAGTTTAAAGTTTTAGGTATTTATTGGGTGTATAATTTTATCTGTACTGATTACTCATTTAGGGGGTTAAGTTTAAATAAATAAAATACAAATCTATGCCTACCTCCCTCCTTAATGGTACCTATTATATTATGTTACGAGTATAATAGATTTTTTTTTTTCAAATTGTGAATATTTTATTGTTGTTGAACATTTTGGCTGACTGAACAAAAGAGAAAAAAAACGCGAACAACAATCGGCCTAAACGATAACAATATAAAATGACGTGATTTGAGATCATCTGAAATATATATATGTATGTATAGTGTAAAGCATATCCTCCACACCGTAAGATGTTTATGTCAGGGGTACCGGCGGTAGTGAGATGGTGGAGAGGTGTGTTATTTTACGTAATATTTTTAATTTTCGTACCGATCACAAATAATAAAACAACACGCGAGATGACGGACACGTTCGCCGCGGCCCCGACATGACAGGCGATTTTTACGACGAACGCGTCATACCCTTATCCTTTTGAGACTTTCGGGTAAAACAAATTATTTATTATGATTATTATTATTATTATATGAACCGCGGGTATGTAACCCTACAATAACATCGTAGTGTTTACGTTTTCGATTATCGGCGGGAGACCGCGTGACTCCTCTCTTAAATCCCATTTCTGTATCTATAAGCCTCATCGGGACAAAACATAACATACGTATATACACATCCCGATCGCGGTCGATTTATAATCATCGTCCATTCGCGTTACATTATATTTATATTCCCGACGCGACTTGTTTAAAGCGTCATATTTTACAAATTCGGACGGCTCGGATTTTATTTTATTTTTACCGTTTTATCATAACGCGTGCGCGTTACAATAGGTATTGTATATAGGAAAGATCGAGAGATTGCATTAGAAGGGTATAATTCCGTCGTAACGTAAAAAAAAAAAAAAAAACACTCGTGTCGAATATGAATTTTATTTCGTTTTAACGAGATATGATACGACGACGACCCGCTGATTCCATTTATCTCACCTTAAAAATATGTACATTTATATGTATTATTATTTAGGTATAATAGGAGGTAGCGATGTTTTTTCATTTTTTTTTTTTTTTCACGTACCATATAATAAATAACGATATTATACGCGAATAACCACGTGCAACTCGTGTTTCGAAACGGCCTGCGGACAACGACGCGATGATATTAAAATATTATTATAACATTAGTGTATTATTATAAGTATACTCGTATATATTATGATAGACGGACTGGATCACGGGCACAGTAATATTATGCGAGACGGAACAATACATTATTCGTAATGTATATTTATTTCCTTCCTCCCTCTCCCCCCCCCCATTTTGTTTTTTCTCGATGAGCGCCGACGATAACAAACAACCGCCAGCGTTTGACGAATACAATATTGTGAAAGTCATCGCGATAGGAGAGCTTTAAGTGACCGTATAGCTGCTGCTGCAGTACACGTGCGTTAGACAAGACGACGGCGGCGGTGCAAGCGGTCGGTTTGTAGCGTGCACGACGCGACGGTGGCGGCGACGACGGCGGCGGAGGCGGTGGCGAGCGATGAGGAGACCACCCGCGCGCAAGAGACTTGAACGCGACTTCGGGTGTAATAATAACTCAAACAATAATATTTCCGCCCGAGCTCTTCACGTATGTATTATTATTATTATTAATCGTCCCGCGGTTACCACTGCGCTACCACGATGGTCGCCATCATCGTCAAAAAAACACCACTACCACCATTGCCCCGGTGTCTGTACTCTATAATCATATATCTGCCAGTTGCGTTATAATATTATTATGTATACAAGTCTGTCAGTTTACAAATCAAATATATTAAGACGTACGCGCACGCAACTTTCGATTCTATACCATACAGGTGCAGAGGTATAAGTGTACATTATTATGTTCGTGTCCGGATCGAAAACAATATGTTTAAAGTAAAGAGGTAAACGATTTAGCGTTTCGTTCCGCGGTCTTGTGATTTTTTTTGTTTTTCAATAGACCGCAATACTGGAAATATAATAAATTATAACGTTTTACGGAACAATTCAATTGGACATTTTACTTTTTGAACTCGATTATACTTTTAGAACGATTTTCACGTATTTAAACGTTAAATACAGTGGACACGTGAGCTGTGCAGAAACACAAATATTGATAAATTAAAGATTTCTTATAGATCTGATAATCAACATAGGTCTACAATAATATAATAATGGCAATATAACACAAATAACGGTTGATAATACAGTTTTTAATAACGGTTCAACCGTTGCAGATTATCTGCTCGTATCGAACTCAATAAGTCCATAATAGCGTTACCATTAAACAGAATTAACTGAATAAAATATATTGTTCATTTAAACAAATTAAACACACAAAAAATTGTAAAATTAAATGGGCCAATTAGTATTGTGAATGTGAAAATTTGTTTGGATTAAACCGAGACTTGACATAGACGTTTTAGATCAGACATAACTTATAAGCTTCTCTCACCTCCGAATTCAACCTCTACGGTGAGGCTGACACCGAGTTATTGGTATTTTTGCACGAACATCTAATTATTTTTTGGTTATCTTGGTGATACAAATGAAATTAAAAAAATAAATTATAAAAAACAAAATAACAAAAGTATCATTTCTTTTGGTCCGGACGATGCCGGGTGGGACAGTTAGTGTTGTATAATTCGGCTTTATGTTTAATTTAATTGGTCTACAAAAAAAGTTATAGTATCAATTAAATCCGGTCGTTAATTATAAAATGTTATAATAGTTCGGGAAAAAGAGCTTAAATAAATTTTGCCTAGTTTTCAACATATGTAAATCAATGTTGAAAAATATTTATAAATTCCCGCTTCAAATATATTTGTTATTCGTCTTCTATGGAAAATAAATGTATTATGGTAATAGAATGATATAAATATTAAACAGTTACAATAAGTAAAATCTAAGCCATTTTCATTTTATCACTTTTAAATTTAAGTCTTTGTGACCACAACTTGCCGTTGGGGTTCAATAAGTTTTGACTCAATTCATAATTTCAAGATAACCATAATAAGGTATTAAAACGATTATGATTATGTACTTAAAAGGAATAGAGGAATGCGGATAGTTGTCCGTTTTTTTCACTTGAGAAAAATGATGGTACTATGAGATTGTTATCGAATGTTGAGAATTTGAGATTCATTTGTTGAAAAAATTCGGATAGTATTGAACGTAAAAGATTGGATGTACTGGTTAAAAATGTGTGTAGTCTATGTGGCCGTAAAATAGTTTTGCTTTACTGAACAATTTTCAAAAATGAACTTTTCCCCACTTCCCCCTTTTCCTCTCAAACTACCAGATGTATACTATTACATATATATACACAATTAATCAGTAATATATATTCATTATTCCAAATTTAGACATAAAACATCGATTTTACCGAAATAACGTAGGTGCCTACAAATATAATGTATATGACGTTTGAATTTGCTTACAAAATTATTATTAATAATTTTTTACATCGCCGTTAAGCGCGTTGTACGAATTACGAATATAAAATACGTGTACAAGTAATATACCTACTTATGCTTTCGAGGTACGTATCTGTTTACCCGATATGGTAAAGACTAGAAATTGTTGATAGTAAAAACTAGTTGTGCCAAAGGGTGTTCGTGAATCCTCAGCGTTTTTACTGGTCACACCTATTAAGTAAGTATTAGTTGACTAATAAATACCTACAGTAAAAATCCAAATTATTTAATTTCTACTTACACACCTCTTCGGCATTATTATTATTATTTTTGTTCTTTATTGTAAAACTAGTGTTTACTAACAAACCCGTGTAGTATCTATATAACAGATTTGTAAAAACGGTTTTACCGATTATAGTTATTATTACAAAACGTATCATTCGCCAATGAGTTTTGGAGTAGTGTCACTGTATAATTAATAGTACCTGTCTAAATTTTTCCTACATATAAATTTTAAAATGATACACGTAGTATTACTTTCAAAACATTATTAGTTACCTTTCATCAGTATCGTGCGCGGGGAAGAGATGGTTAGGAGTTATATTCCCCCATTTGTTTAAAAATACAACAACTATAGAAGTATTTATTTGGTAATTAAACCATGAAATATTATATATTGCAGTCTTGTTACATAGAAAAGCACGATTTATTGAATAGTAGTTGGCTTTTTTGGATCCGTTATTTAAATTCCCATTTTTGTGTTAGGTACCTATAGAAGAAGATAATACGATTTACCCATGATTTTAATGTTAACTACCTATGCCCTACCATTGAAAATTCCTGGGTACGTCACTGCCTTTTTAATTTATTGTTTATAAAATATACCGACAAATATGTATTTTATTTATTATATAATATTTACAGATCCGGTATTAAAGTGTAAAATAACAATACCATATAATATAAATATGATTTTACAGTGGTATTAAACAGTTAGTTGGTAGGTAGGTGTTATACCTTACGTGTGACTCGATGCACGCTTAGTTCACTATTCGAATTCATTGGTACGTGTATAACGATATGAAAAATGTGTTTTAATCAGTATTTATTGTGATTACGTTTATAAAAACTAGTTTTTTTTAATAAAAATCAATTTTGTTGGTTATACATAGGTATAATGTCAATGGAAAAATTGAGTATTATTTAGGTTTAAACTATTTTTAACTTTTTCTGGGCATCTCAGGATTAAAATATAAACGAGATAGGAAGTATGTGCTGTGTCTATAGTAGAGGTGCTAATAACGTATAGGTACTAACTACTCAAGATTGTATATTTATTGGATTATTATGTAGATAAAAGATTAAACGTTTTTAAAAAAAAAAAAAAGCTTCAACGTTTATCCCAGAGGATCTATTACAGATAGCTAAGAACTATTCAAAATCATTTACTTATAAATTGTTCGGACTTAATTCGACTCTGTGGGTTCCTGCATGTATAATACGAGGTATTATCACGTTTATATACTATGGAGAAATTACTAGATTTATATTGAAAGAATGTTATTTACTTTTCACCCAGTACCAAAAGTAGGTATGTATATTTTTAATATATAGCGTTTGATTTGAGATTCAGACATTTATATGGATATTAAGATTTAATAGTTTATAAATTCGAATTCAACGAAATATACAGCCAATAAACGAAAATCTATTAAGAAAATAAAACCTATTATTATAAAAGATTACCACCTCTACCATTAGATTGCGCTTATATATAATATAGGTATCATTATACTAACCTACACTACATATAATTATTACGATAGTAAACAAACATTTAGTTATAGCTGTGCCTGCCTTTCGAATAAATTAAAAATATTTTTAGGTATACATATTTTAAGTTTCACGCACTTAACAATCATATTATAAATTTGTACTATATATTTTTATTACAATCCTATACAGGTACATATTTAAAATTACCCACCTATATACAATATTATTATAAACGAGTTTTTCTAGTCAAATTATAATATTTCACCGAATAATCTCAATTATACACTTATAATACTTGTATAATATTACTGATTATAAATAGATAATATATATTGTAAACAAAGTACCGATATTGTAATATAATGTATTATCTTCTATCCCGAGTCGTTTAAATTATTACCTTAAAATAAAAGGTATAGGTAGAACCTACATAATATTTTACAATAATAGTAGGCTTTAAATGTACAGGTGCCCGTGTGTATGACTGTATCTGATGTAAACTGTAATGTTAGTTATTACGAACACAAAATATACGTTTTTAAATGTTTTTTATTATTATTATTGGTTTTTTAAACATCAATTCACGATTATTTTTAACAAGAAAGTAAAATTAAATACAACCCCTGTCCCTTCCACCACCATTAAATTTAACGTAAATAAAATAACGTGTCTAATTTACTGCAGTTTTTATTGACCGTATATATAATTTTATCTGAAACATATATTAATGAAATGCGTTTATGGCCCATTAAATGCAGTTGATTTAAGACTAACGTTAAAATAATTGTTTATTTTTTCAAATGTTTAGTAGTATTATAACGTATAAGTAACGTAACTTAGGTATATTATTTTAACTACACGACAATATTAATATTATTAAAGACGAACAAAATATTGTCTTTACATTCATTATATAAATTTTTTTTTTTTATTACTTTGTTTTTATATGTATGACATTTTATCAGACTGTATTTCATTTAAGTATTCAAAATTAACAATTTATCATTATTATTATAAATCCGGTCGATAATATCTAAATTGATTTAATAACAAATAATTAATTTGGTATTATACGAGTACCTATTTATTAGTAAACGATGTGAGTGTTGCAGAATACAGTATGACAATCAAAACTATTTGAAATGATAAGTACCTACGCAGAAATACTATTATATTTATGTAGTTTGCGTTAAATATTATATTGTTATAAACATGATTCAGCACTTACAGCATTTAATTATTTTCTTTGCTTGACATTAAATCTAGTAGAGTGCTACTCTATGTAATATTATAACAAGTTCATATATGATATTTGAAAATGATTTTTTTTATTGATTTCGATAGATAAAAAAAACGCAATCATTTTTACTACTTATTTCTTTTCATATTTTCAACTTTGTGATTATCTACGTAAGCTACTGACAAAAACCTTGATTTTTCCATTTGATTTTTAAATAATTTCACTTTTTTTCCTAACAAAATTGTATTTGTTTATTTTTTTTATCTTACCTACTGGCTACTTGTTGCATAGGTCAACAAGTGTCGGATTTAAAAATTATGGCACCCGGGATAAACTCGTAAACTCGGGATGAACTTTTAAAATCGTAAATATTGCAGCCTTTTAAAGCATGTATAAGGTATAACCGAACTCCGCTCAGAATCATTTTTTGTTAGCAATAATTAATTATTGCCTACAGATATACATTCAATTCCCCTATATATCCTACTGGGTTCTTCCCAATTTCTCACCTACAACAGTGGCCATCGTGCTAAGTATATCAGTCATTTTTTTCGTCTATTTCAATATAGTTGAAAACAAATTATTTTTACTAGTTTTTTCTTTCTAAATAGATATTTAATATGTAAATAAGTGTTTTTTTTTGGGCTTATAGTGAAGTTTTAAAATGCGTTTTTGTTGAATTTAAATTAAAGTCCCGAACTTTGATGCATTTATTTAATGTGAAAATAAAAATTTGAACGTTTTCTCAAATATATGAACACCGTTAATTAAAACTATAACATATCTAAACGTTCACTAAATATCTTAACCTATACAATAATAGTGCCTGGAGTACCTATTGGGTTGTTCTTATTTTGATTTTATATTTAGTCGTGTTTTGTTAATTTATACTGACTATGCCTGATGATTTTTTAAATCTAATTCGGTCGTAAATACACACAACCTATGAGAATGTTCGAGGTTAAGTTTTCCCTTCATGTTTATTTTTTTATATAGTTATATACTTTTAATGTATTTAGATTTAATATTTATGATATTTATAGTATTAATATAAAAACAAACATAGTTTTAAAGGTTAATTCTATTATATCTAAATAAATAAATAAAAATAATAAATATTATTTTTGACTTTCGTGCATTAACCTCTAAAGTTATTTTTGTTTTTATATTAATAATAGTATTCTAAAAGTATTCTTGAATTGTAAATAAACGCGATCCGGAAGAATAACATTATAATAATATACGGAATATGTTATAATAATAATGTCTTTTAAACGCCTCACCGTAACTGATTGCTTTGCTCGTAGAACTAATACCGGAAAGTCTTAAAGATCACGTTTTCTACATATTTTATTAGTATAAAGTTAGACAGCACTACGAGAGATGGTAGGTACATTGTCCTGCAGTTAAACTGGAATTTTTAATTACTATTTTTAATATACAATGGGTTAGTAATTTCTACAATATGTCGTTTAACGCCTTCCCCTTTTTCATCCGGTCGGAATTTATTTTTCTTGGCTGTCAGCATCAAGAAAAAAAAACGTCTCTGTTTTTACGACTAACTCGTCAACCCCATTTTTCTTACAATCTTATTTTAAATTTAGAATCAAAGTTCATCGTATGTATAATAATATCTCAAGTTTTATCATTTCCGTGAGTGCATTTCGACATGACGTGACAGCAAAATTTTTGGGATAAGTCTTTATTAGAATAGGTATTATGTTATTTTTCGAATATTAGACACTTTAGAAAATAACTTCTTTGAAAAATATTATTCTTAACAATTTATCTTATATTTTAATTTATGTACAATATACCTATTATATTATTGTTATTATATTTTTAGATTTGTATTTTTAAATACGTAATAGTTTTGAAACTAGAGCTTTAGGCAAACAAAATATTAATGATGACCAATAATATGGAAACAAAAATATTTCACTGTTCATATAACAAATATTATTGTAACTTATATAAACTAAAATATCTTAGGATATTTTCAGGTAAATTGTAAGTATAGATACAAGTCTAATACCTAATACTATTAGTATGATAGCAGCGTATATCTACTATTTATTTAGACAGGTATTGTTTTTCATGAAAATTGTACTACTATATTGTTGAAAAAATGAAAATGTATACAAACTAAATGTTGTTAACGAGTATTTACAATGTTTTTAGCTTAACTGTAGACAGTACAAACAATACATTTTTAAAGATTGTTAACTAAAACATAAGGAAAGTAATGAAATTGTTCGTATAGCACTCTCACCCCTATAAATATTATTGTAAATAGCAAAACTACACATACCAAAAGATTTCCGTGGTTTTATTACGCGGTTCAAAAAGATCGATCAGGGTTTAAAAAAATAAAAAAAATAAACTTAACCACCTTGATTTTATACGAACTGACTACCGTAATGCTTGATATATTTTAAGCCACCCGTGGATAATATTAACATCGTTTCAGTAAAGTAAAAAATTCGTGTAAAATGAATATCATTCAACACGATTCATCCCTTCGCGTTATATATTATTATACCCAGTAATATACATATTCGTGGGTTCAAACCACCCACGAAGAACCACTCATATTACAATTAATGTCACAAACACATGTATTATTTATAATTCTTACAGGTGTTATATATTATGTAACCTATAAATCCTAATGCGTAGTATTGCGTTTTTTTTTTTTTTTATAATATGTGGAGTTTTGTTATGAGGATGATGAGAATCGATAGGAAGAAAAAAAAATATGGACATAATGGGTAATAAATTATTGGGACCTTACTAAACTCGAAAAGAAAATTTTAATCTCGAATAAATTATTACGTCTGATAATTTAATATATCCTGTTAGGAGGACGCCATTACTAAATTTTTCCCTTTACACTATGGACAAAACGTATAGAAAGTAAAGTTTTATTACAATGAATATAAGTGAATTAAACATAATTATTATGCTAAAAATATATTTTCGTCTCACTCGAAAATCAAAATAATAAGAAATCCGACGAGAGATCGCAAACAACATTTATGATTTTAAAAATATAAAGTACAGATAAGTTTGTTTACATTTTTAAAATTATACTGCCGATTAGGCGAAATTTAAATTTGTTATAAATTTATGATATTATATTGTAATGTAGTCAAACTTTAGAAGATAATAAATCAGTGTATAATATTTTAGCTCAAATTATAATACAAAATTAAAAACTTCCTAGTTTTCAAATGTTATAATATGGTGAATCGAAAAATAAAAACAATATACATTGACTTCAAAGTATGAGCGAGTACATGGGGGAGGTTGAAGCAAACGGCCTTCCTCTATGGTCTAGATTTTTCACATAAATTGCTAATATTGGACAGTTTAGGGTATTTTAGTTTAACTATATTTCGGTTAACTATATTATATCTTTGATGTATGGCCATAAAAATCGTATAGTCATCAATAATACATACCTACATCAATATACAATACATATTAGCATATATAATGGTTTTATAATATGTTATTAGGCGTTTTATTTTTAACTTTTTAAATGTAAACGTCCGATTGCAAACTCCCTTATTTCTTGTCCCCTTTACCAATAAGATTTCCTCACACCTATGGGTTAAAATATATTAAGTACGTGATTAAAGCGATGTTGCTATTATATTTATCGTTTTTTTTCACCATTAAACCAAATTTATTTTCAAAAAAACGGTCCACGCTGACATGATTATATTATAATAGATAATATATCGTCTTGTAAATTAAATAATATATTGTTATTTGGTACATTAATTATTGTATTTTACAGATATATTACAGTAAAGACTAAAATAGAACCGACAACTATAATATCAACATTAAAAACACAGTAAAACGTGAAGTCTACATTAAATCAAAGCCGACTGCTGAATTATTGGAATGAGGTGATTTCAAATGGTAAGTATAATATAACAAATTTAAAAGCGAATAATAATCGCTTCGGTACTGTAAGTTATTATAGTGGCGTGCGCAGAACGGGGAAAATTGGATGTTATTCCCCTCCACCAATAGGCTTAAAAAAACAACAACTATGCATATTTATTTACCTAGTAATTTAATCTTGAAATGTATAATATATTTCAGCCAAGTAACTAGGAAAAGCTCGATTCGTTGAAAAAAAAATATAGACTTTTATGGATCCAGTTTTATAATAATTCTCATAGTCAGGATGTAAAATCCTACAATTTGTTCATGATATTTATTTACATCTCCTCCAGTTGTGAATTACCGAGTCACTACTGTTTTAATAAGTAGGTACCTACGTTATCAAAAATGTTTTTGGAAAACGCATTTGTACATAATATTGTATTCTGCCGATGGATAGCTACACCGAAATAAGCTCCGTGTTACTAACTGTATGCAGAAAATAAAACAAATTTGTGTAAAATATTTGTTTATATTATTTTAAAATCACTATAGCGATCTAATACAACGTGCGTACATAGGTAATAAATATGCAACCCAAAATTATTACGCCAATTAGTATTATTCTAAAATCGAATGTATACGAAATAGGTACCTACAGGTCGGTAAAGAAAATGATGTTTGTAATATCGTACAGTTATAGGTACAACCTATAACTGATTTAAATTTTTTCCGGGATAGACGATCTGTTTACGTGTCTACTTACACATTATTTAGCCACGGTAATAACAATATAACCGCAACAATCCATAAAACGAGAAGGGGCGCGGTAGGCAGGCGTACACGAGACCAATCATTATAATATTATCACAGACCTGCGGGTAATGCGATACCATTTTATTGGCACCGCTCATTATTTTATTTTTTTTTTATTTTTTTTAATGGAGTGTACATAGTTACAGAAGGGTTATATATGGGGTACACCACGGATGGGTCATATCATCTATATATTATAATATCTTATGCGGCCGAAACCGGCTCCTTAAAATGATTACCGTGTTGAATATTTTTGTTTTTTATTTTTTTTTTTCATTTCATAAAACCATAAGTTGTAATCGTAACAAACGTAGAATAATAAAAATACCTACAAATCGGGGTCTTAAAAAATAAGAAAAAAAAATTTGATTGTATGGTAAATTATTTTTTTTCCCTATTGCATACCATACACGCGAGAGGATTTCGAAAGGAATTTCATTAAATTATTATGTAACTTTCATTTTTACCGACTGTCTTAATGTAATAGAACGAATATCATAGTATGTACGCACCCAATTACACATATAAATTATAACGGATTTCAACCCGGACCATAATAATAATAATAATAGTATTACTATATAACGTACGCGTTCTCTACACGAGCAAGTCTACCGAAATGAATATTTTAATTTAATTTATAATATTTTTGTAAAATAAACAAAAAGTCGTTTGGACGCGAAGATATTCGGTCTTTTTTTTTTTTTTTAAGTACCAATCACGATGACTGGATTTTTTTTATTCATTTTGACGACCGGGTATAATATTTGTATTCACATCAGAATCTCGTGATCGAGTTGGGTTCTTTTTATACCTATATATACAGGCTTATAATATAACATATTGAATTTTCGAAACGGTCGATCAACGTAATATAGGTATTCAGTTAAACGCGCGCATTATTATAATAATATTATTATACAGCCAGGACGAAGGAAAACAGTAGTTTTCATTTCTTTATCCAATCGGTTAAAATTACTTAATTCGGATTTTTGTTTTTCGGTTTTACGATGGTGCTCGTTATAATATATTGAGAACGTTAGTTGCGAGTGATATTATTATAATGACAGGAAAACACGTATAACGCGGTCAGCAATCATAGACATTTAATTTACATATAAATGTGAATACGTGTATTATATTATAGTATTATGGTCTATGAACCGACTAAAACGCAATAACATTAGGTTAGGTATAATATGTAGTACACTCAATGGTAGTTTATAAAAAACGAAAACAAAAATTATTTCATTAAATAAAACAAATGGTTCGAATAACATTCCTTAGTTAATACCTATGTAAGTAAAGACAATAATTACCTAATTAGGAAAATAGTTAAATAAAAACGCATTATTAACGTTGTATTACTATAATCCAAATAAATATCACCTACATCTACAGGATTGAGCACACTGTGTCCGTTCGGTTCGGTTCAGCTAAATAATTATGTATTTCTACTACCAATGTGCGCCCACTGTGTATATTCAGTTAAGTTTTCTGTGACCTTTCGTGTTCTTCCACAACAATTCAGTTCATCGTGGACTAGTATTCTAATTTACTATGTAGAAGAGCGCCAAAATCCGTATATAGACGAGTAAGCGGATTGTACGGCAAAACGATGACTGAACGGAATATGATGGATACTGATTGGTTAATGCGTCGGTCAAAAATCAAAATCTCTATTGATTAATAGTCGGAATGCAATAGAATTGAACCGAACGAATCTATAGATGGCACGTCCCTGCGGTGGAGGACAAACAGGTCATCGCCCCTTTTTTTTTTTGCCATATAACGTTCCATGTATGACAAAATATCTATTATCTATATTATGATTATGAAATCCTAATGTCGAAAAAAAAAATGCCTCAGCTATCGAATATTTTATTATTTCGCATCCACCCCCGCCTGCGAATTTAGACTAATAATAAGAGCCAATCTAGTGTGCTTGTTTTTTAAAATTATTAATGACGTATGTATAGATCTTTGTTTATAAAACAACTAAGATTATTCAAATAACCGTCGGCACTTTTATTTATTTATTTATTCGTACCTATAGCAGAAACAGAAACAAAAAACTTTAAAATCGATTCTTTATCAATATCATAATAAGTAGTATTAAATAATTTTAACTATGTAATTTTTTGCCGTACCTAATAATTATTATACATTTGTATAGGCGTGTGGTGTAAGGGAGGGAGGGGGGGGGGGTTATGTAGCTATACTGCACTTGTTTTGTATATTTTTGCAAAAAAAAAAAAAAAAAATCTTTTATTGAATGTTCATTTTTTCAGGGATGTCATAAGAAAGAAAAAAAAAACTAAATTCTTACAACATCATCGATCAAATATTTAACCGGAAACGACGATAAACACATTCCGTCCCTACATGAGGACATTTCATAGCGCGTCAAATATAATTTTCGTACATTTCGGTTAAAAATCCCAAATTTAAGGTTTAAGATACCGCGTCTCAAACCCGCCAGATGTGAAAAGATCTTATAATACTCATATTATTTAGTGAAGGGTAAAATATTATACAGACCTGCATAATGCATTGTTACGCGGTCAGATGCTATTATTTCGATTCGATTCGTTGATGGACATTATAATGCGATACACCGTCGAATGTTGTACACCTTTCCAGATTTCACGGAATTTATTTATTTTTTTTTTTCATTATACTATTATATACGATAGCATTATGGTTCGTTATGAAATAAAATCAATAATAACAAAAAGTCGGACATACTTTGTGCATATGGGTATACACACTAGGTTATACTGTTGTAGTTGGGGGAAGTTTGGAATATATTATCGGTTGATTTAGTTCGTATACAATGTAAAATAATTGAAATCACAAAAGAACCATTCTGATCGGAGCACGGTTAACTGGTATGTGTATTATATTAGTCGTATTTTTTAACCAGAAATCACCAAAAATAAAAGACAGGTATCGTGATTTGTTGTCTTTTTTTCAGGGAGTGCAAAACCGGGAGTCCCAAAGGAACCACTCGTAAAGTTACTAACCACTATATTACAACCTAGCCTATACAGAATATTGATGAAAATTACATTTAAAACATTAATTGTTATAATATTATATAGATGGTACACAAAAATAAAAATCGGTTTTACCCGCACATAATTATAATAGTAAAATTAGTATAAGACCTATAGATCATACTTGAATGTTAATTTACAAATCAAACAGAGTAAACAGACAGTTTTGAATGTTTGCAGTTTTTTTTTAACATGTATTATCAAACAGAACATAATATAGGATATACTATATTTTAATTTTATCTCGTTCGCGGAATCTTATGAAATTTTTATAAACATGAAGTGCACGAAAAATGTAAATATGTGTAGGATTTTTGTTTATTATTATTTTTTATATATGTATATACATAGGTGCTCTTTAAATTGTACAAAAAAAATGTCTGTCTGGTTAATATTATAACGAATGGATATAAACGGTTTCTTTAAAAAAAAAAAAAAATAAAAAAATAAACTGAAGCATGCTACGCGATATTGTTTAACCGGAATTTTGTATATAATATGTAGCTATTTTAAATCTAATAAGAAACGAATAATTTTTAATTCAGGTCAGATTATCTAAACTTTGCAGTGAGAAGGGTTTTTTTTATGTAAGCGCTGGCTATATGAGATTTATAATATGGAATTTAGATTTTTTTTTTTTTTTTTTTTATTTTAATCCCCGTCGGATATATTATATTTTAGACGATAAACAAACTATCTATTTCTATGCGTATGCGCTATTTATATAGAAAGAAGATAATAATTAGAATTTAATTATTTGTATAAACAATCCAAAAATCATTATGTTAACATTAGTATAGGTGTATTCGGATTGTTTTTTTACTTAGCGACGGTTTTTAAATTTGGCAAAGCGTCCATATAATAATACCATATCAAGACATTTTTTTTAGTAAACACCCACTGGATGTCCACTCCTTCTCCCTTTAAAAAAGCTTTACGAGCAGTATATTTACAAAGCTTCTATAATCCCAGTGCTGCACTCTCTGTAATGATTAGATTGATACCTATTTAAAGTAATGAATTTCCTCAAACCTGCCAATCCTATTCGTGTTCAGACACGCCTCGGGACTTAGAAAATACGTTCTCTGGCAGATAGACCAAACCTTCCATTTAATTTTTATACTTACGCTAGTTACCTCTTTTTCTACCAGTGAGATTATTTCCTTAACAAAATAAAATAATATGTTCCAAAATCTACTAATGTTATCAAACATTTACCGTTTATTATTTAGTGGACACACAGTAAACAATAGGCGAGAAGTTGGAAAAGTAAGTGGGAAATTGAATGTACACAATGATTAACCATTGCTAACGAAAAACGATTCTAAGCGGAGTTCGGTTAATTGTGTTGCTTTGTCAACAATATAATATATGATATATTATAGTAAAATAATTACACATGCATTATATATTTTCTCTTTAATAATATTAATAGTTTGATAACGAAACAACGATGAGCTTTAGAATATGTTCCAAAAACCGTGCATATCAAGAGAAGCAGCAAAGAGTAGGTTTTTGTGGACCGGGTACTCCTGGAGAAAAAAATGACGTGATGATAAAAGTAGTAATTGAGGAGGGAATCCGATAGGAAAAACACCGTTGAGCAGACTTCACTTTAGATGAGAAGACTGTGTTAAAAGGGATGTTAAAGCAGTAGATCCAAAAATAAACAGGAGGGAAGTAGCAAAAGACAAAGAGAGATGGAAGAAAATTTATTGTACGAGATGGTTTTAAAGACCAAAAGAAAACCCCAGAAAAAAAAAATATTTGATTAATATTTTATCTATTTTCCCGTTTTTCCTACATTTTTTCTCGAAAAATTACTTCCTTATGGTACCACTATAGTGAAATTTTCTTTCAGAAAAATGTCTATCATTGTAAATCGGAGCAAAATTGCTGGTAGAAAAATTATCCACAGAAAAAAAAAACATCATTGTAAAACCAATACAACTCTCGCTCCGCTCAGAATCTAAAACCTTACCCTACTGGATGTCTAATAGACTTTACGATGCGTAAACCTCCTTGAAAAATTCGCTATACTATATTATTATAGTATGTCCCCCTCCTTGGCTTCATATTATATATTGCCGATCACAACAATATTATTTCTGTTTAACAATTTTTTTTTTTCTAATCCGACTTTATACACTTATATATGCGTATACTAAAAAGAGATGATTGATAAAAAACCGTCACACATGCGTATTATAATATATTAATAACGATACTGTGGACATTACTGTGAACGCGAGTCAATAATAATTAGATACGTATGCGTCGTAATATGCACTAGTGGGAATTTTGGCCGTTTGCCCGTGGGTGTAAAAACGTCTATCTGATCGATGCGTACCGGTAGAGGTAACTACTTACATTATTTCCTATAAGGAATCTAAATATATTTTTACCGGGCAAAAAACTATAAAATCCCGGATATTCTTAATCGGTGGCCACGAATATATAGTTGTATTATTATGGCGTTAAAGAAAGACCGAAAATATGCCTGAAGGCACTACACGGCTGAATGGCGATGCATTATGAATATAAGATACCCGTTATTCGAAACGTGTGCATTGTTCGAAAAACGATGTATCTACATGATGTGTGTATTGCGGGTTATTGGGTGCAAATGCAATCACCCACAGGGCACGACTTAAGCTTATGCAGTTTTTTTTTACTGATATCTCTAAACCCACAAACGGCTAAAATCGATAAATATTATAGATGGTATTTATTTTGACCGAAAAATACATACCTATAGGTACGTATCTATTATAATGTATAAATCAACGTATACCGTATTGTATTAAACAGGTATTACGTATTTTATTCATTGCGATATCTGAATTGTTATAAGTGGGAAGTAGATAAGGTAGGATACGCGGAGTTGTTTAATTTACATATTATAATATACGCATCATCGCTATTGGAAAACGATCCTGAACGAAATTTGATTAAACTTTTAAAATGTCATGATTTCAACTATTTTAATTAAAATTTGAACGTAAAAAAAAATATTCCATTAGCTATGCCCACAATCTTCTTTGACCACTATGTACTTACAATCGTGTGTTAAATTGTCAAGCATTTCTGATCAACCAAAACAATTTTACCCCCATAATATCAAATTAAAACTTAAAAAAAAACGTACTATTTCTATTAATAGCTCAAAAATGTTAGAATGTTTTGTTCGTTTTACCACGTCTAGAAAAAGCTATTTCCAGTATTTCGTGAAAATCCCGGTGCCCTACGATTATTTTTAACCATTTGCCCTGAGTCCTTCCAGCGAACCGACTGTTTTTGTCCAATTAATGCTCAGAGTCTACTGTTGAAAGCTTTCCGATTCTCCCGGGAACTTACTATTTTGGTCCTTTAATTAATCTCCTTTACCACCCTCCCCTCCCCTCACGACATATTTCCTTCCCAAATACCAAAAATGTATCTATTATTCGTAGGTGTCCGCCTACTGGCAGATACCTGCCTTTCTGGCTCAGGAGTACCTCAGCCAGAAATAAATTTCAGAAGGAGGAAAATACTAATCATTCTTAAATTATCTACTATTTTTTTAGAATGATAAAATACACGGAATTTACGAACAAAATAAAACAAATCTGGGAAAGGGGGTCACGTGCCCCTAGCTATGGCATTGGTATCCGCTATTCAGAAGTTGTTTAGTTTCGAATTTAAAGTCCGCAATTTCGAGACGTTATACTGTACATATAATATAACGTTAATGATTTATGTTCCAGTAGTCTGGAAACCTAATGATTTAGTCGTTATGTGTATTAGGTCAAATTAGGTTAGGCCCTAACCGTTAACTTCCCAGGTTCAGCAACTTTTTTGAGAGGAAATCGGTGTGGGGAGGTATCATAAAGTAGTCATTTTTCGATCTTTTCATCAAATACGAAAAACTGAAAAAAAAACGGGAAAATTTATAAAATATAACAAATATATTATTACGATTTTTTTTTCTGTGGAAAACTTTTCTACTAGCAATTTCGCTTCAACTATTATTGATAGCAATGTTTCTGAAAGGAAGTTTCACTGAGAAGGTACTTCAAACAGGTCTTTTTTTGATTTTCTCAAGAATTTTCTCAGCAAATGTGAAAAACTGAGAAAAAACAGGAAAACCGATAAAATCGGTAGAACATTAAACAAATATTATTAAAGAAAATATATGGAACCTATTTAATTATTTTATTATAATATTTCATATTATGTTAACAAAGCATCACTATCAACTGAACTCCGCTCAGAATCGTTTTTTCGTAAGCAATGGTTTAGCATTGCTTACAGTTATACATTAAATTCCCGTCTGTATCCTACTTTTCCAACTTTCCACATACACCAGTGGCTGCATCCGTCCCCATTATCTTTTTATTTCTCGTATTTCCGTATGATATTACACGTTTATACGGTGCTTTAACCGACCATTACACAGTTGTACGATAGACAAATACTCGAATAGCTCATAGTAAAATTTGAACAGTAAAACAGTGGTAGAACTAATAATTGCACTCAGAGCGCACGGTGCAGCCCATTTAAAACTTCGGTAATCGAAATTGCTTAAAACACGGTGCATGATACACTCCATGGTCTTCTAAACAATTGGTTTATTAATGATTTAACACATTGACAGCATAAAAATTGCTACTCGGGATATTATATTTTTTTGGTATTTATATTATTCAATTATTATTGTTTTATTCATTTATAAATAGGCTACGGATTTATAAGCACTTAAAATCCGTAAAAAAGTGCTTAAATCATCAAAAAAGTACTTAAAAATATTTAAAAATGCAATAGTTGTAGACGAGTTTTAAAGTCCCCATTCTGACGGTTCTCACCCCATTAAATACATTTTTCTAACACTGAAAAATGATTAACACAAAGCATTTTATTTTTTATAACACGTACAATTATTATTTATTTGAAAAAAAATTACTAGGAAATAAACATTTTTTTTTGTGTTAAAAAATTATTTCTAATAAGTTAGAAACAATAAAAGGGGAAACTTTAAACTTCTCTACCTTTATTGATTCTTTAAATATTTTTTAAGTGATTTTTTTTTTTTAGAGCTTTTTTGACGTTTTGAACGCTTCTTTGTGCATTTTAAAGGCATATAAATCTATGCCCTACTTATGAGTATTATAATATTATTACAGATTATGGCGAGTGCGTTATACTGCATCGACACTTAATATTATATAATTAATATTATTGACATTATTTTGTTTTTTATAATGATTAACAAAATAAATTGCTAAACCCGAAAATTTACGAGTTTAAAAAAAAAAATAATATAATAATACTAAAGAAACGGCGCATGTTTGTCAAAAAATAAAACTGATTTCATAGTACTTTTAGTGAATACCTATAATATTATTAAATCGTCAATGTATTTTCTTGAGTTTCAAACAAGTAATTTTATTTATATAATAATATACTCGAGAACACTGTTAGACCTTACGAACGTATGTTTACATATATAACAACAAATATTTTAATAACAAATATTTACTATGTACAGTGTACACGGTTCGATGATTATCCTGAACATTTATAATTTATATATATAGAGAGAGAAAGACAAAGAGATTTTATAATGAAACTGCATTTCAGTAAAATACTATAGAAAAAAAAAATAGAGATAAATCCGATGACATATATATGTATAAGAAAAATTGCAAGCAAATTTGTTTAATTCGATTATTTGATGATTTGTGCTCCGGCGTAAAAAAAAAAAACAAAATAAAATGAATGCATTGTGCATTGACGGCGTACAAAAAAAATTATACATAAAAAATAACTCGACATGCCGTCGGTCGCACCAATGTACCAGACGAGAGAATACTTAAAATACTAATGAATTTATAGACTGAGAATCTGTGCGCAATGTGCACATACCCAAAGTGTCATATTTTTTTAAGAAAAAAAAAAATGCGTTGAGTAACGAACAACGTTTCGTATAAGACCTATACTATATAGGTATTCGGTATTTATTTTACGAAGAACATTTAAACATTGATTTTCGTTTTTTTGCGAATCATCATTATTATTACAAACCCGTGCCATTAAATCGATATTATTTTAGTTTTCTACACAATCGTAGAGACAATTTACACATCATCAGCGATATGACCATAAAAACAAAACGAGCGAATAATATTACACACTGAAGGTATTGGTCCTTTTTAAGTGCTGCATCAGTTTACGTTAGAATATTAATATAAAGATTTAGTTTGAACAAAATAATAATAATTATAATGATAATAATAAAAGTAATAATTTATATTTTCAGATGATTCGGAACGCAGTTGATTAAAACCATTTTAAAGTGCATAATCGAATGTATTTTTCTTCTTGTGGTACCAAAAGCGGAAGAACAATTATTGTATATGTATTAATTTTAAAAAATAATTTAAATTTGTTAGCTTCCTCTCTATTTTTGTAAATAAATGTTCTATGTGTTTAGGACCAGCTCAGGAAATATGTTGGATAGTTTATGTAGTTTGGTATGAAAATAATGAATTTATTAATATAAACTTGTACTTTAAAGGTCAATAAAACCGAAATAAAACCAATTTATTTTTATCAATTTTTTTCGACAAAAAGTTTTTTCTACAAAAGAAGGGAAAAAAGGTTAACGAATTCAAATTATTTTATGTGTGTATATGTTTTTTTTTGGCTTGTTATAGGTCTATAAATGCACGAAATACCCGATCGCTTAGAACCCCTTAAGAATCGCTCAAACAATAATATTATTATAATACTTCTGCACTATAATAATAATTCCTATTATTATTAAAAAATTACTTTTATGAAATCTCATGTGATATTATCAATACAAATTTATTTTTGTTTAATTTTATAAAAACAATTAAACTTATTACAATTTTGTTATAGTAGTATTTCTTTAATTTACACAGTCTGACAAGTCATAAAATACATCTATCAAATACATATATCGAATTATTATTATTATTGCTTTTAGCGGCTCGCTCTCTACCTAATTGACGATGTTTTATACGCGGATTAAAGCGATAATAGAGTTGAATTGTATTTCAATATGAATTTCATCGTGTTGTTCAGTAGCAAGAGCAGCGTGTTTTTATCAATATGAACACCCTCACAGACCCCCCCCTCCAAATGAGGCCAGGAGGATGAAATTTTGTATGACGTTAGTGAAAGGATGCGCCTTTTAAGGGTTTCAGATTTCGAGCCTGTCATTTTTTTGGAAATTAATAGAAAAAAAAAAATTGTATTTTTTATTGTGCTATTATAGTAGGTATATTTTCGGATGATAATAATTATTGTTTCGCAAAGAATATTTCTAAAATAGAGGAGAGAGAAAATTCGAATCTAATGACGGAGCTCTGCTACTCACGGGTGATCTGCTTTTATTATTGAAAACTGTTTTGAAATTGATATATTTATCTTATAGGTACGAATATTGCCGTTCGAGTGAAGGAGCATTAAAGTCTCTCGATATTCGTTATAAACTATTATAATACACTTGTAGTACTCTAGGCTCTGATCGCAAATTCGTTTAAAAAGATACTGTTCAATGTACGGAAAACGGTACACGTACGAATGTGTAATTGTATTAGTGTTTAACCAAAATGTATGTATGTTAAAACAGTTTCGTTCTAGTTTTGACTTAACAACACACACGTGCAAAGTTAATACTATTAATACGATGTTGTTAAATTTGTTTAGACAAAATAATGTGAAATGTGTTTGTTTTTTTTATTTATTTATTTATTTATTTTTTTTTTGAGAAAATAATAACAAGTTCGTTTTTATGAAAATAATTGTCCGTTAAGTATCATATATATAGTATAGGTAATCTAATTAACTATACTCTTTAACGTTCGGTATACTCCCGGGTCGTCTAGAAATGTATACGCGTGTGTACGTTACAATTATCGTTACGTTAGTTATTTATCGTTAAGCACGTGTGTATTAAAAAAATAAAATAACAATTAGTTTCAACTGTGTGGGGAATATTATGTACATACATATGAACGTATATCGATAGCGGATAGATTTCGATTGAACGAGGGAACCTCGAATAAATATAACATGTTAATTATTTAGTTATTATCGATAATATTATTGTTAATCAAAAATATGCTGTATAATATCATTGGCGTTGTCGATACCACGTCGGAATCGCGTGGGCATTTGTAATAATCGCGTCGTGAAATTGTGATTCGCTCGTAAAAATATATTTTTATCGTTTTACGGATAGTGAATTCAATACCACAGTATTATGTAATATATTATACCGCGGCGCGGAGTATTCGTTACCGATAATTTCGATTACATTTCGAATACACTTTAATGTACCGCCGCACTCATGCGCGGTAGCGCAATCTCTGCGGGGAGGGGGACTTTCTGGGTGTCCGTACCCCCAGCCCCCACTAAGCGCGTTTAATTGATACGCGCTTATTAAAACGTGTCGGCGCTTATTCGTTGTTTTTTTTTTTTTTTCAATCGTAGACACGCGACAACACCGATTCCGCCTTCAACAAATCCCGGTCGGGTCGCGCTAACCAAGTTTTGCATAGTATAAAAAAAAAAAAAAAACAACTCGATTATAAAAACGATCGTTTCCGTTTAAACGCCGAATAAAAAACGCACAATAATAGGTAATAATATTGTAGCGTATTATTTGAATGCATATAGAACATATGCGATATTATTATTGTCGTCCGTTTAAATCTATTGACGATCGCGTAACTCGCGGGAAGAAAATGTGTCGATTCGTAAATCGTAAACGTTTCGTTTCAGTGGGAAACGATCGTTTTTACAAGTATAATACAGCGATAAATACAATAACGCACAGAATTATAATATGCGATATTTTTCGTTAGCGCACAAAAATATTATTCAAAACTGGGTTTTTTTTTTTTTTTTTCAACACATATACCTATTTTATACACTTGACGCAATTTAAGTACAACAATAATTAATTCGGGTTAAGTAAACGAATAAAAAACAATTTAGTTTTTTTTTTTTTTTTTAAATTTAACACGTAAAATCATGCGTTCGCTAATTTATCTTATTATTGTATTTATGTGTAGTTAGTTTCCTTTTGATTATCGATTTCCGAATATTTATTATAAATTATAATTACATACACATGCATAATAATAGGTAGGTATATATTATATATTTACTACATATTATATCTAAAATACATGAATCTATTATAATAATACATTGGGTATATTTTGTTATTATAGTTGTTTTCGTATATAATAAGTACATAAAGTATAAATTATACATTAAGTAAATAATATACATGTTGATGTCTGCAAATATAATTACAATAATTTTCCCTCGAAATATTCAAAAAATACCGTTGAGACAAATATTTGAATTATAAAGACGGCGAAATTTACGTATTTCGATGCGAAATAAATTATGATATTACAGTGTCGTTGTGTTAAAAAAAAAAAATAAAATAAATTATATTATCTAATTTACAGCTGTTACAATATTTTTCTAAAATTGATTGAAAATTGAAACGAATGATTAGTTTATAATATTTTAAACGTATTATTTCAATATTGAAATAAAAAAAAATAATAATAAAATATATTTGAAGTTTTAACAATATTGACAGTAATAAAATAGATTAAAAAAAAATTTACCCGAACGGACGAGTGTAAACGAATTTCTTGAAAAATCATTATTGCTCTACGCATTTTTTTCTATACAGTTTGGCGTAGCTAAAGAAGGTTGATTTCATACCTGCGTTATAAAATTATAACGCGGAAAAGAAAATTATTACAATTAAGGGACGAGATCTTTGAAATAAATCGCGGCTTTTATTTTTTTTTTTTTTTTTATTTTTCAGCAGATATACGAAAGATGAGAAGAAAAAAAAAAAAAATGTCTTACTTCTCGAGTCCGTGTAGTACGTCCATTTAGAAGCGGCACTGGATACGAGCGCGGTGTCTGCCGGACATACACGACTGCTGCACACGGTCGCGCCGCCAAAGTGATGTACACTGTTGCAGCAGTATATCGATGATATGCGGCGCGGACAGCTATACGGCGTCTTGTTAGATACTGTTTTTATTACGCGGCTGCGGTGGTGGTGCTGCAGTGTTGGGTCGTCACTGACTCGCGGCGAATAAGTGACTGAATTTTCTGTCGGCAGTCCCCGCGGACAGCAGGACCGTGTGCAGTGGTGATGCGTGTGATACGCGTGTGCGTGTGTGCGTGCGATGCTGCGGCGGGCACTCTGATGCGCTGGCCGTCGTCGTCGTCGCCGCCGCCGCCGCCGCCGCCGCCGCCGGTGGTGGTGTCGCCGCCGCCGGAGGATACCGTTCAGCCGCGACCGCCGAAGGAGAGGCGCACGCAGGACGAAACGGCGGCGGCGGCGGCAAACGGACGTATAAGAGTGGTACAAAAGAGAGAAAGAGTGAAAGAGAGTGAGAGAGAGAGAGAGTGAGAGAGAAAGAGGTCTCTCGCACGCACAAACGTGGCCGCCCCGGCGGCGGGCGGCGCGGCGTGCACGCACACACGCATCCGAAGTGCGCGACTATTAATACGTATAATAATATTATACGTGTGTGCGTGAGCGCACGTCTTGTGGGCCTCGTGTATTATATTATGTGTACACGTATACGGATTATATGCGCTAGTGCGTGTGTGTGTAAATGGTGATCTTTGCCGCCCCGCCCGAAGTATCCGCCGATACGTACCTATATTTAATATTATATTAAATTCCGAAAAAAAAAAAAAAAAAAAAAAAACCGGCGCTTATGACGTCCCGGACTCCGGGATCGAGAAGGTGAGCGGGGGTGTAGGAAATCTGTAGAGATCTAGACCGAGAAATAATAATAATACATATATATATATATATATATATAGTGTACAGTGAATACATTATACAATTATATATATATATATATACCGATGATGATGATGATGATGATATTATTATTATTATTATGCCGGCGGCGATTCGAATATAATACATAAGTATAACAATATGATAAGTGTATATAGGTGTACGTGTGTATTTCAATATTCGAACGCGATATACACACAAGCACTTGCGAGTACGCGTCGTTACAATCAAAGACGAAATAATATCCCAATAATGTAGTGGAGTTGTTACAAGCCTGTACAAGTAGTAATTCGAAAACGTATTATACCGAATGATAAACTGTACCGTTCGTCCAAGTATTTTGTTATGGACAAATCTGTGGCTTGAAGTGCAAAATAAGGCCAATGTCGATTTTTTTAAAAAATCAGTGAGAAATAAAATTGAGGAAACGTATTTTACTTATCGTTATGGTTTAGTTAAACTTTTAATAATAAAAATTTGTCCCCAAGATAATGGGGACGGGCGCAGCCACTGTTGTAAGTGGAAAGTTGGGTAGGTAGGATACAGAAGGGAATTTAGTGCATATCTGTAAGCAACGATAAATCATTGTTTACGAAAATTTTAAAAAAATTTTTTTCGATTTTTCACATTTGATAAGAAAATCGAAAAATGACCTCCCTAAATTACCACCCCAAGAAAATTTCCTTTTGGTAACGAGTCTACATCTTATACATCGGAGTAAGATTTCTGGTAGAATTTTTGTACACAGCGTAAAAAAATAAAAATAAAAACAAAATAATCCATTTTTTTTTTTTCTATGAAGTATAGATCCGTCTCCCTGGCACCCGTCTCTTCTTCATGTAGACGTATAAAACGAGATCGTCTCCCTAACACCCGCAACCGTTAAAAATCATCGTATCGACTCTGGACCTATGCATTTTTGCGTACCCCGGTACCCGATTTGTATCCATTTGAATACATTTCAACAAAATCTGTAACCTTTTCACTTGGGCGTAAACGCCCATTATTTAATTAAAGTGACTTTCTACTAGACTACTTGAGGCTGTTTGTGAAGGTGTTATAGTTTTTTTGAAAAATAGCTCAAATGGATACAAACCGGGTACACAAAAATGGTATCTGTCCGAAGTCGATATGATCATTTTCAACGATTGCTAGAGTGCTAGAGTGCTAGAGAGACGATCTCGTTTTATGCCTAAATGAAAGAAATAAAAATTTATTTAAAACAGATTTAAATGGATAAAAATCGGGTACAAAAATATAGTAATACGATGATTTTTAACCATAGACTTATCATCTAAACGGAACATTCAGCACGAAAATGTGTTACAGTGGGTGGAGTTTCATTTCCAGGACCGAAACACGTGAGAACGGAAAATTTTAATGGGCTGTCTTCGGAATGTAAATTTACTCTCTCTCACACTAGGCTTTATATCAGCCTATCTCTCTTGATCCGTTCAGACCGACCACGCCTCGCAATCCTCGGGGTGAATGTTCCGTCTAGATGTATAAATCTATGTTTTTAACGATTGCGGGTGCCAGAAATATGATCTGTTTTACGACTAAATGAGGTAGGTACAATTTTTTTTAAAAGGATTACAAATAGATACAAATCGGGTGCATTCAAATTTTATTAGCCTGAAGTTGATAGGACGATTTACGGGAGCCAGGTAGACGGACCTATAAAGTGTTTGGTATTTCGAGTAATATTTCAACCAAAGTAGGTACATATCATATTTGAGCAGAAAATTCACATCTTTTAATGGCATATAATGACAAAAATATCAAAGAAATTTTACGAACCGACAGTTTTTTGCGATAAGAAATAAAAATATAGAACATATTTTAGTAAAACTAACTATAAACTCGGATTGTAAAATAAATATTAGTAGTAAATATTGTAATTAATTTGCACTTAATGTATAATAAATTAAAATATGTATTTCGTATTATTATAGTTATCAATATCAGCTATCACTTAATATGTATCGCTTTTCTAGATACAATAACGGATAAATGTCTTAAAAATAAATGAATATCCCTGTGCACTTCCTGAATACGCCACTCAGGGGTGGTCTGGCAAGAACGACGGATGGGCGAGCTCAAAGAAAATCATAATTGTAAATGTTAGGTAAAGATGCAATACTTTTTGATTGTTATTACCAAATAATCTGTTTTAGTGATGTCTGTTTTTTGCATTGATATTCAACATGTTAGATCGAATTTTTCGTTCCCCCATAGTCGATTTGTATTTACAATCCACCTCTGACGCTACTACTCGCATTATATATTATAACTGTAAATGTTTCGGTTTTGTTTAAACTATTAATTATTGTGCACATATACTACTACATCCTGTACATTTTATACTCAATATCCAACAACACAACCGTGCATAGATTTTTATATGGAACTCACAATTTTGAAAATTTATTTTGTATTTAAAATCTCATCACTTAGTCGAAAATAGGTAATTTTTTTTTAACCAACAATATCACCGTTTTTATCGACTGATGTAGAAATGCCAGAACGATTTTGGAACCATGCATCTAAAATGTATTTTAATTGGAGGAGGTCAGGTTACGTTGGTTATGTTAGGGGGGGGGGGATTTGTCAGTTAAATTAATATATATTTTAGATACACAGATGATGTTTATTATTATTTTTCTTTTTATCTGTGAACAACTTTTCTATCAGCAATTTTGTTTCGATTTACAATGATAATACTTTTTCCGGAAGAAAATCTGACTGGACTGGTACTTTAGTATGAGGTCATTTTTTTATTTTCCCAGGAATTTTTCCTATAAATGGAAAAAACCAGGAAAAACATGGGAAAAACGTAAGAAAAATGGGAAAATAGGAACAATATTAAACAAATATTATTAAATAAAATATATCATTTATACTTATGTAATTATTTTTTCCACAGTATGACATATATTATATTGTTGAAAAAGCAACACTATTAACAGAACTCTACTCAGAATCGTTTTTCGTCAACCATGATTAATCGTTGCGTACATATTAAATTTTCCCTTTACCTTCCCAATATCTCAGTTCTCACCTACAACAGTGGCCCATCCCACGTGCGAAGTATGTCCGTCTCTTTTAGTATCGTATCGTGCATTTTTATTTAAAAATCCCCCTGCTCCCGTTATTTCTCAGGAAAAACATTTTAAGTTAGTAAAAAATGTTCCAATTTTTTCACACATTGCTATAAAAGACCCATAATTTTTCATCCGGTGGTACTTAATTTAAAATATCTTTTGAAATTACCACTAGTTAAAATATAATGTATACTTATGTTACCTATCATCACTATAATATCTATAATTCACTTAAGTCGTCCGAACTTAACTTTATATTTTGTTTCAAATGTATTCCAAAAATATGACCCAAGTTTGATAAAATGGCGTAGTAAAAATAGTTGTAAATCATAGAACGTAAAAAAAATATATGACATGTTGACACTTTTCGCGAAAGACAAATATTATTATATTTTCTACAATACCCAAAAATTATACGAAATAACACGTTTTACTCATTCAATTCAATTCAGTTTATTCAATTTTATTAAAAAATACAGATAAATATTTTGTACTGAACAAATATAATATAATTTGTCATTTATATATAATTCAAAAATAACTTATAACTATAACTTAAATGTTTAATTTAAGTGTTTACGAAAACTTATATACATTAATGTATTTAATAATACATTAATAATATTAAACCTATGTATATGTACATTTAAAAGTAATTCATCTATTTATGATTATAATTATCGTCATTACCTATATTTTATTATAATGATTAATGATAACGAAATATTTTGCCATTTTAGAAATCGGTAATACTACGCAATAATCAGTGACGTATTTTTAACTTTTACTTGAAGGGGGTCCATAATTTATAATTTATAATTATGTATCTGCGTATTTTTTTGGAGGAGGTTCAATATTGAATCTAGCGCCGCGGTCACGACACAGAGCTAAGTAAAATGAAATAAAGCTCGTGCGTCGACCGTAGTATATTACACTAGACGGCCAACTCCTATTTAACATATGCAATTTTATGACAAATGGTTCGACTTTTTTGTAGCCCAAACTAATTGACTGATTGTTTTGAAATTTACACGGGTTGATCAGTATGTTAAGTATACTTTTGTAAATTTCAAGTTGATCTGACGATTACAGGCTGAGTAATATGCAAAAGTACTTGCATAGTTTTTATTCAAACATTATTTTTTTTTTACAATTCAACAATGTATAAATGTTGTACGCGTTGTTACCACCTGTTTGCGACGAACGCCGTTTGCGTGAATAAAACACAATTTTGTTTATTTATTTTATCGCTGCATTACTGTAGTATCATTTTCCAGC